GATCCCAGGTACCACATGCCACACTGGTACCTGCCATCCCTGTAATCCCAATGCTGGGGAGGCTGAACACAGGAGGATCACTAGAAGTCTGAACCCCGTACCAAGTACATTAAAAAAAAGAAGAAGAAGAAAATACATCATGGTGAGAATATATCCAAGACATTGAAGAATGAATCCAAGACTAGGCATTCCCAGAGTCTCATCTCCCCCAAGAGTCCATCATAGGCCGTACTTGGTGATCTCTATCAGAGAACTCCTCCCACCTGAGGAGCACTGCATCTACTGGGTAATGTTTCACATCCTGTAAGCCTCAGCAGAAGTGCTATCTTGCTTGGAAAACAATACATTACTATTCATTTATTGAAATTCTTAAATTGAAAGAATAAACAAGAAAAAATGACAAAAGTGTGCAAAACTAAAGTATCCTCAAAAAATGAAAATATATTGCCACGAAGAAACAATATAACACTGTTTGCAATCTTAATGTAATATAAATGTAGAGGAAGTCCTAAAATGTAAAAATAAAAGACACAGAAATGGCAAAGGAGAAAATTTTATAGGATCAACTTACAAGGCATAATATCCTAGTTACAGGATATTTTTTTAAAAGGGGAGAGGGAGGAAGGGATAGAAAACTGGAGGGAGGGAAGGAGTCAGGGAAGGAGAAGAAATTACCAAAATATAATAAAAAGCAAGAAAATGTAAGTTTTTGTACTGAAAAAGTCCAAGTTCCAAGTATGATGGTAAAAAACAGACCCAAGACAATGTCAAGTAACTTCAATATTTATATGAAGTTAAAGGTGCTAAAAATGACAAAAGGGGGCAAAGTCACTGATAACAGATCAGTGATCAAATAGTATCCTATTTCTTAGTAGCAATATGCAGAAATGTAGAATACAGTGAAGCAATGCCTATAAAATTCAAGGAAAATTATACCTACCCTAGAATTAATTCCCAGGCAAATAATTTATAGTTTGGAGAAAAAAGGCAGCAAAGTTTAAACCTCTTCCTACCATGCATACTCTCAAGAAATGACTTAACAGGGTTACTCTACCAATATATCAAGAAAGGAGAACAGAGGAGACAGAAATTTCCAGGAAGGCTAAAGTGAAACAGAATAGTAGGATTACAAGTGTGTGTCTTGCCCAGACTGCAGAGCTATGTACAAGACGTTACCAAATAAAAACAAAAAGGATAGCCACCTTAAATTAGAAGAGAATTTATACTTCCAAATGGATTAATAGCATACTTAAAAACTAAGCAAACAAAAACCATAGTAATTATAAACAAAGTAACCAATTTCAGGGGGAAAAAAACCTTATAGAAGAAAAGATGTGTGACTATGGTATACTGGACCATAAGTAATGGCAAATATTTACATATTCAAAATATGCAGATTGAACACTGATTCAACCAAAATCAGCATCAAAATTATGATGGGAGGAACGGTGGTCACCCATTTGAGGCATCTTCCTGAGAGTTAAAGACATTACAGTGATAGACACATACCCATGCAGATAGTAGTACAATTCCTAATAGCTAAATTTTATGCAAATGGTGCATATACCCATCAACAGATGACTGGATATACAATGGAGTACTACTCTGCCATAAAAAGGATAAATGTGAATCGTTTTTAGGAAAATGGATACATCTTGAGACCATAATATTAAGTGAAATAAGGCAGAGCTTAAAATATCCCATTTTCTATATAAGAAATCCAAAATATACAAAAGAGTAAAACAAAAGAGATAATAGGAAGTAGGGAGATCTTATTCAAATGGAAATGGGAAACAAGTGATAAAGGAAGTGGGGAGGGGAGGGAGGGAGAGGAAAGAAAAAAAAAAAGAATTGGGATGTTATGTAGATGGACTAACTACCCAGAAGGAATGTAATCACTGTGTAAATCAAATATGTACTAATAAAACATAAAGGCTGAAAAAATACCCCACACCGGAAAAAACAAGCCAGGATAGCTGAGTGCCCTTATATAAACTAAGAGAGCTATTGCATCTGTAGATAGTGGGAGGGGAAGACAGGGCTGGATCTCAGCAGTAGCATGGCTGCCCAACATGTGTAAGGTCCTGGTTTGATTACCAGCAACAAAAAGCATGTTATAAGGTAATGACAAAGAATGACAAAATAAAAACTAACCCATGACAAAGTTAAGACTTAAAGTGTAGCTCAATGATAAAACACTTGCGTAACATGAGCAAGGCTCAGAATCTGATCCCCAGGGCCACCAAAAATGAAAAACATGTAAGTATTAACAATTTTTTTAAAATAAAAAGAAAAGAATTCCTAACGAAAGTCAGTATAAGAAACACCAGACTAAAAGATAGTGAAAAAGAATATTAATAGACTTAAAATTTGCTAAATTCTTATCATTCTGTCACATGAATTCTTTTTATTTTCAGGTACTCTTCGTACGGTTTACTTAAATTATTTAGTAATAATTAATTCTCAAATCCAATTGAGATGTCTTATCAGACATACTTAACTTGTATTGTGTATACACAAACATAATTACAAGTCATTTCTTGCCTTTCTCCTTAGTCCCAGAAATCCCTAGAAGTTTTTAGTCTTACAATGTTAAAGTAGAATATAATCTCACTGGATAGAATCCTCTCTTCTTTTTCAAAGTTTTCCCTAAAGCTGAGGGGGAAAATGATTTTTTTTTTCAGTAGATTCTATTATCTTACTATGAAAGGAAGAAGAATGTCCTTAACAGCTCATTTATACTCAAAAATTATATATTATAAAGTATATTTAAGTTTTGTAACACATAGGTCGGGGCAATATATTATTCTACATATCTTTATTGAATCTGATAAATATCAAGTTACCAGTACTAATAAGCAATTATTTCCTTTTTCTTTGGAGGCACATTTCTCCTGTAACCATTCACTCTTTTATTCTATTTACCTAATTTTTCATAACATCATCCCAATATTCATGTTCACATGAGTATGTCTAGTAAACTTTTTGGAGAAAGGACATTCATATCAAATTGTAAGTTTTATGGGTAATTACAATTTTTTTAGTATACATGCTGCCAAAGCAAGCATAGTCATAATTTTTTTTTAATTAGTCATTATTTTCATTCATTCAATGACTATGATTATGTAGTGACTGGATTGGCTACTCGTAGCACCAAAAGACAATCACGCTTCCAACCCAACAGAACACTAAATATATCTAAACAAATAACATAATAGCAACAATTAAGCTCAATCTATAAGCATATTGCTAGCTTCAAAATCTCTGTTAATCTCAAATAAGAGTATCCAAAGAAAAGACCAACTGTTGAAATTTATTCCAGTTCCTCAATCTACTGTTCATTTTCCCAGGACACTATCAGGAGCTATTAAACAACAAAGAAGGCACTGAGTTCCCTGTCAATCTGTAAAGAATAATGCAATCTCTTGTAGAGTAAGAGAAAAACTAGAAAATGTTTCTATCCACAAATGAGCACTTGAAGTCATTGGTTCCTGAAGTTTAACAATGACTATTCTAAGATATTATAAGAAAAAAAATCACCTTTATAACTTGGTATATTAGGGATATGGAGCAGCACATTTATGTAGATTAAGAAAATAAATGCAGATAGCTAGCTATTCTTCTCAATTAAGGATATTACGCCATCTGCTGGGCGAGGTAGTAATCCCAACAATTGGGAGGCAAACCCAAGAGAACAATTCTCGGCCAGCCTGGGTTACAAAGTGAGCTCAAGGCCAACATGAACTGCATGGTAAGACTGTGCCTCAAAAAAAAAAAAAAAAAAAAAAAAAGCTGGTTAGATAGCTAAGCTCCTGCCATGCTAGCCCCGCCCCTGAGCTCAGCTAGCTGAGCATCCAAGTCAGATGTGGTAGCCCATTCCTGTAATCCCAGTGCTAGGGAAGCTGAAAACAGGAGTTTGAGCTGTGTGATGAGACCCTGTACCAAATACATACATGGAAAAAAAAAAAAAAAAAAGAATACTTTGCAATCCATGAAAGATATAATCTGAGCCAAGCAGGCAGAAAATAGTTAAGAATATGGATTGTTTTTAGTAACAGCAAAGACTAAAATGTGGAGTGTGAACAGTTATCAACAATCTCAATTACTGTGTTATACGTACTCAATAACCAAATCTGAATATCAAAAAACTATATATACCTATCAGAAATCCTACATATTCAATTCTTATTTTGGGTTTATATTCCAAGTCTTCCTTTTGGTGTTATTCTTGCATGTACCTTTAAAATGGCAATGATGATGTTACTATCTAATGTACCTGAGAAATAAAAGACAGTTATCTTGACCCTCTTAAACTAAATCTTTCCTTCTAGCAAGCATAATTTCTTTCTACATATTTCCCTTCACCAAGCTTTCAACTTATTTTTCCTCTATAACCATACATACACAAAGAATTCATTTATGCAAAAGTGAGATTCTATTCCATCCTAGTATCTTCCCAGTATTAACAGTGTAATTATTTTGAAATTATTGCTAAAAATATTTTTAGCTAGTGAATGCCAATATTTAAATTCTGGATTGAAATGAAAAGGTGGGCTACTATATGAAAAAAGTAAAGCAAAACGATTGCGACCTAAGAAAAACCCTCTATTATTATTTCTTAAATGCAACTTCAAGACAAAATGTGTAAACTAGGAAAACACATTTTAAAGCAAATATTAAGTATAAAAATAACTTTAGATGTATTTTAACTATGGAAAATGGATTTTCAGGGATAGGTTTTTAAAAATGGTATCCAGTAATAAAACTGAAAACATCATTATGTTTCTTTTATGTAAACCAACATTTTTCCATCTTGGTAAAGGGACACCTGACTATCAAAATGGGACAAACATCAGGAAGACAAGGGTGGCTAAAGGTTGAAATAATATTCTAGTATACTTTCACAACTAACATCTGATTTTTACTCTCACTTTATATCCATAAGGTTTGTTGCTATTGTGCAAATTTTTAATGACAGTGATGTTACATATGTAACTTGCCTGAATGAGAAATGAAAGGAACAGAACCAAAAGGATCTTCTGGAGGATGGGTACATGGAGCAGAAAGTGGGTCTATATTCTTATCTGAGGATGCTTTCTCCTCGAGCCTGTCTGCAAAAATAAGATGAAACAAAAAAGAAAAGAAAAATGGTCTTTAAATTAAAAGTGATATGCTTCTATATAAACAAAAAGTGAAATTAAACAAAACAGCCTTTTTGACGAGTATTAGGTTCAGAGTTGCCTTGTTCTTAGTACAGCACAATCCTGAGCCTAATACATTATTTCTTGCTACAAAGGCAAGTCTCACAATATTATCAGTGCTATTATTCATTAAATATAATTAACCTCTGAAATGCTGTAACATATTGGACCTAACTGTAAATCCTATTTCCTAAACAATGACACATCTGGCATGCTTTCTCTAAAAAATATATGAGAAAATACTGCAAATAGTCATTAAACTTTAAAAATAGGAAATCTTATTTCTCTAAATAAAAAGTAATTCACTATATTACTTTAATAATTGCTCATTTCACTTTATATTTTGTATCAAATCATTTATACACACACACAGATACAAAACCAGATACAGAATTTATTTATTCATTCAATAAATAAATATACAAGATTAGCATCTAGTATAGGCCAAGCACTGTTCTAGGCAATTGGCATGTACTATGGACAAAACAAAGACACCTACGCTCATATAGCTTATATGGTGAAAAAACAAAGCAATGAGCAAAAAAAAAAAGAAAAAGAAATGTATGTAGTATGTTCAAAAAAACTAATGCAGACGCAAAAAAGGTATGTAGCACAAATGAACGAAGAACATGAGCAGTAATAGACTGATGATAATCACGAGATGAGCTACTGGGGGCGGGGGAGACTGAAAGGAGGCCAGGAAAGGGATACCTGGTGAACATCTCCCAGAAAGAGGAAGCTAGAGCACACCCATGGCAAAGAGTAGGAGAGGTATGTTAGAGGCACAACTGATGTGTTCTAACTTTATAGTATATTTATCTTTTCCCTGTGCATAAATTCTCCCCATAATCACACTTTATCAGCTGAGAATCACCAGATTTTTGTAGAATGTCTCTTTCCTCAGATTCTTAGCAATGAGAAAAGCATGCTATTTGAGACTTTTTATTCCCAGGACTGGACCTTTGGTTCATCAGAATTTAAGGCAATACAATTCACATTTAGGCTTGTCTATACTCAAGAACGCCTCAGGTCAATTTTGTTAGTTTCAACTGAATTCTAAGGTACTGCAGGGGGGGAATCCTTCTCAATTTTTGGGCCTTTGCCAGATAGCTCAGTTGTTTAAAGCACTGCTTGGGCAAATGCAGTCAAGCACATAGGACTGCAGTCAGGCGCAGCAGACCATGGTTCGATTCCCAACTCCAGAAGCTGCACCAGACCTGCCCTTGAGGCACCCAGAAGCAGCCCCCACAAGAAAAACAAACAAAAAAAGAACTCCTTCTTAAAGTACCGCAGGGTGGGAATGGGAAATACAAATACAACTGTAACTCCTAAAAACAACTTGTGACTTCAGTCTGAAGTACACGCCCAAGGGAAATGCTGCTGCATCCCCACAGTGATGGGGAACCTTTGAGAGCAATGGTGGCAAACCTGTGTTAGAAGTGCCTTTGTGGGCTGTTTGTGATCACTGAAAGTGCTCAGAGATTCACCATCACTCTTTTAGAGCTCCCAATGATACAAACAGCATCCTGCAACACAAGCCCAGGTTTACCACCATTGTATGGCAATACTTCTCAAATTTACCTAAAAATTACTTAAAATGCAGATTCAGATTTCTTATGTGGGTGAGTACTAAGATTTTGCACTTCAACAAGATCCTACGTGTCCAATGGAGCACAGCTCTTAAAAAGTGAATGCCCTGGATTACATACTATCCTAAATACACTTAACAGTTTTAAAAATCCTTTAAGACAAAAGATAGCTTTTATAGCTTAGACAAACTGCAAAACCCACATAAACTTTGGGCTCTTTAAAATTTTAAAAGTTTGTTGAAATATTAATATTATGTTGAAACACTGAACTATTTTGAAAACTAATTTACAAACAAGAATTTCTAAAGTGAAGTGCTACCTTTCAACTGCAACACTGAAATGGATATGAATGGAAATTTAGTTATTTCCTAAGATAATAAATGTATATTTAAGAAATCAATAACAAATGCTCATTGTATCATAGGAAAAATTTTTTGAACACTTTGTTGCCAAAGCACCCATTTAAAGAGAAGCTTGTCTTAGGTGGAGCACTACAGCAGGGATTCAATCCCTGGCATGTAGTGTTGGCCCCACCCCCCAGGGGCACTGAGACAGTGATTGAGACTGTGCGTGGTGGTATGCGACTGTAATCCCAGCACTTGGATGGCTGAAAACAGGAGGATCACTACAAGTCCAATCTACAGAGGGAGACTTGTAGTATAGGGTAGACCCTATACTAAACACATACAGGGGAAAAAAAGGAAAAAGAAAAAGAGTATTCAGGTACCGACCAAGTCAAGTGCCAAGATGCCTACATTAAATGAAGTTACCTGAACCTAAGGAATCATTACCTGTGTAGGAACCCAAGAATCTAAATGTTAACATGCTTTCCAATTTATAAACCACTATTATAGTTTCCAAATTACAAAACTGCAAAATTAGGGCCCGCAAGATAGCTCAGCAGACTAAGCGCCTGCTAAGGCAAGCGCAGGGACCAGGGTTCTATCTCTAGGACCACAGGCTCTGCAGGTCCCACCCCCAGGCACAAGGAGCCAGCAACAAAGTCCAGGCATGGTGGGTGGCACATGCCCTGTAATCCCAGCACTGGGGAGGCTGAAACCAGGAGGATCATTACAAACAAATCTGAGCTGCATAATGAGAGCCTATACCAAATACATAAATTTAAAAAAAAAAAAAAACCACACAAAATTACTGCCTAGGCTATCTGAATCCTTATGCACTTGTCTCCATCAATCTATGGTAGGGTTTTATGATACTACACATACAAAAAACACTGTATAGTTATGACAAGAGTACTAACACTGTCATGTAGCAGTAAATTAATTTTTATGAGTCCCCTCAAGTAACTGAATTCTTCTATGGGAGACACTGTTCAATGCAAAGTTCATTATTTTAAAACAGACATTACTGGGCTGGCCAGATTGCTCAGCAGATTCAAGTGCCTGCTTAGGCAGAGAGCACAGCAGCCAGGGTTCGATCTCCAGCAGAAGGAGCTGTGCCAGCCCCACATCCGGGGTGCACTGAGACAAAGATGGTGACTGGGTGTGGTGGCCCACACCTGTAATCCCTGCACTTGGGAGGCTGAAAACAGGAGAATCACAATGAATCTGATCTACGTAAAGAGACCCTGTACTAAACACATTAAAATAATCATAAAACAGACATTACTTTAATAGATTCATAATAAAATGAATCATATCCTCAATGTTTCACAAAACAATTACTTTAATGAAATGCTTTTAAGTCACATGGATTTCTAAAGTTCATGAAAAGCTGGGTCCCAGGACACAAATCACAAAAGAATATACATTAGTTTTTAAATAATTATAAATAAAAATAAAATGGTTAGATAGAACTACTGTTCAAATATAGTCAACCCTAAAATGTACTTAAGAACTACTTTTTTTTTTTTTTTTGTATTTTAGTAAGCTCTACAGGGTGTACAGGGTCTCACTACATAGATCAAACTTGTAGTGATTTGCCTGTTTCCAGCCTCCCAAAGAGCTGGGATTACAGGCATGAGCCACCATGCTCAGTCTCAATCGCTGTCTCAGCACACTCCGGGGGGTAAGGCCAGACCAGCAGGCCAGGGATCAAACTCCTGCCGCTGCATCTGCCTAAGCAGGTGCTTTAGTCTCCTGAGTTATTTGACCAGACCTTAAGTACTACTTTTAAATGACTGTTTTCTTTAGATCGCAATAAATCCTAAGCAATTTGTCCCATATAAGAAACTCACCTACCTCTTTCTGCCTTCCCCAAGAATTATGCTAGCAAAAAGTTATCTTTTCAAGAACTTTAACTGATACAAATGCAAAATACAGACATTCTAGAGTCAAGGTACACTCCATTATATCAAAATATATAATTTTTTAATATTTAATATTAAATTTAATATTTAAAAATTCTATAAATTCATTCTGTCCTGATATAGAGAATGGTCAAAAAGACCCAAAAAATGGTTTCATGACTAAGGTTTTAAAGAGCTGCCTTCATCTAACACACTTGAAACTGTTCTAGTATACTTGAAAAATCTGTCAGTTTGAATTCAAGGCACAGTAATGGGTCTAAATGAGCTAAAATGAAGTGAGAGTCAATATTTTAAAATAATTACATATTCAGGTGTTTATACCTATTTTATTCTGTGGCTTTATAGATATCATTCAATTGAATGGCACCGCAATCACAATCTCTGGATATTCATTTCTTCTTAGTTATTTAATGAAACTTTAAACAGAAACAAATCCACCATCAAAATTTTTAAATTGTGTATTATTCTTAATTCATAACTATACAACGATTTCAAGTTTCCCCCAAATACGCCAATTCTAATTAGTGTAATATATTAAAAATTATGACAATTAGATACATAAATGTTACATCCAAATTTGGATGTTTGGTACAAAAGAAAACGACAAATACAAGCTTAAGTTTTAAAAAAATATTGTATAAGCTTTATTACCGATGCTAAAACTTCTGAATCATAAATAGCATTCATTTACAATAAAAGTATAACACAAATTTTGTATTTTAAATCTCTGCATAGTATATGCAATCAACTATTTTACTAACAATCACTAAAAATAAACAGTCATTACTAATCACTAACGTGAATATCTCAAAATCTTACTATGCTTTAAAAATGCCTTCTGGATAACATACAAAAGTAAAATATTTCCTAGACAACATATTCTTTTTTTTACTTTTAAAGAAATAGCTAAGTATTACTTTACAAGAAAAACCTTGAATGGCAGCATATTATTCTCATTGTAGGTTGCTTTACAACCATTACATTACTAAATGGATGATGCCTAAATTTTTAAGGAACATGTAAAGGCTTTCAGTTTCACATAGGAAAGCATTTCAAAATTAAATATATATTGTTTTAGAAGCAGTTCTGGAAATTGTTAATATGTATCTGTGCCAAGAAACAAAGCACAAAAATCCCATTTAGTATTTCAAATGCATCAGTAATTATTTCTACATTTTAGAAAAAATTGTTAGGAAACGAAAAAAATCAACTAATAAAGCCACCAAATTTCATTGTAATCAGTGGTTCTACTGAAATTCTTAAGGTGTTGGTAGAGGTTTTTTGTCTCTCAGTGCAATTTAAACCCCACTAAGTAGATCAAACATTACATACATACTGCTTTATCTTAAAGCTATAGAAAAAGACTAAATATTACAGTTAAACAAAACAGAGAAAATGTTTCTAAACTATACCTATACACCGTTAATCTCTTTATAAACTTTTATTGAAAATTTCTGAGCCATTATGATGGCTGTTAATGATTAAAGAAAAAATATATCATTTTTTTTTACCAGTTTCCTTGTCATTTGTTCCTTCTGCTATTGATTATTTGCCCACAAGGCTGATTCTTTATTTTTTCCTTTATTTTTACTTATTTATTTGGCATGGGGTCTCACTGCGCAGCCTGGACATGCAGCGATCCTCCTGTCTCAACCTCCCCTGCACTGGGATTACAGGCTTGCACCACCAAACCCGGTTTCAGTGACTGGCACAGTGCAGAGTCAGCACAGCATGTGGTACTGGTGATCAAACTCAGGTCGTTGTGCTTGCCAGGCAGGCGTTTAGACCACCGAGCTATCTCCCTGGCCCCACAAGACCAATTCTAGTTTGATTTTTAAGTGACCAGCTGAGAAACCTGAGCATCCAGATATAATTTTTGAATACAAACCAGAGGCCAAAAACCTCAAGTCACAGCATGAAGACTTATACAGAAGGTTAGGAAATGGAAAATGGTGTACATTTACCAGTACCTACACTCTTTAAAGGCATTATTTAAGTTCTCCATGGAACCTCATGAAGCAGGTTTATAACATCTATCTGAGGTTATAAAAAAGATTGTGAGACTGACAGCAGCTTTGTGACTTTACAGAGATTATAATCTTATTAAGTGCCATTGTCAGGAATGAAAATCCTGGGGCCGGGGAGATGGCTCCGTGGAATAAGCGCTTCCCTGGCAAGCGCAAGGGCCTGAGTTAAATCCCTGGTTCTGCCAAAAAAAAAAAAAAAAAAAAAGAAAGGAATGAAAATCCTATTTTCTGGCACTACGTGTTAAGTACAAAGGCCTTGTGGCAAGGATTGCATAAACATGGGAATGACAAATAGCAGAGGCTGGACCAAGTCTGACCTTCAAATAAAGCCTCTTTCTGTGTTTTCATTGACACCTTTCTATAATGAACACTACACTGAAGTCTAAACTATCTTTGGCATACATGTATATACAAATGTACAAACTATACATATTATCTGACATCAAAGCTTAATGCAGTAAAATTATGAATTTAATGAAGTTAATATAATGAAGTTTAATAAATAGCTGGTTCAAGGTTTTATAAGCTAAGCCCAATACTGCTGAAGTTATATATACAGGCATATTCATAAAACATTCTTGCCTATGCCAAAGAAATAAAACTTAAATGTCATTAAGACTAAGTTTAGAATTGTGCATTTTCTATGCTACACAATAAGAATCCTCTCTCTGTTAAGTTGATTTAAAAAAAAAAAAAAAAAAAAAAAAAAAAAAAAAAAAAAATTAAGAAAAAATTTTAAAAAAAAAAAAAAAAAAAAAAAACCTACTTTTTTTTACCCAATGAGTAGAAAATACTCATTTAGCATCCCCTGTCACAACACATTAAAATGAGTAACTTCTGCTTTAACATAATCTTGTAAATTATAATTTGGCTACTCCCTCTACCTTCCCCTTACCATCCCTTCAAAAGGAAAAAACACACTTTTCTCGTTCTTAAAACCTTGCTTTAGGGGATATTCAACATTAACTAAAGGACAAAATGCCCACAAAGAGCTTCATAGTTCAAAAAAAATGTTACATGATTTAAGACTTGTTTTACCAAAATTAACAAACTTTTATTTAGGGTTCAGAACTCACTTTTTATATCTACATTTAATCATTAATTGGGCTTTCATAATATATACCAAATATGTAAAATACAAATTTAAATCCCAAACAACTATCCTTACATGAATGCAAGGAATGTATAAATTTCACATAAAATATATACAAAGAATTTCATCTATTAAATGTACTCTGAACATAATGCAGAACTGAGCACTACTGGGACCTTCTTTTCACATGCAGAAGGTAAAAACACATTTGTGTATGTTCATGATGTGCATGTGTGCGTGCACACTTAAAAATTATCTGTGTATTCAGAATTATGCAAGCTTTCTGATCCTATTTTGCAAATCTCAAATATCCCAGAACCCACTTAAAAAAAAAAATCTCTACAATAGGTATGAGGACATTACATGTATTAGGTAGCTTAAGAAGAGGCAATGAACAATTCCAAGTAAAAACATTACTGATTTCAAGTAGAAAAGAATTTATTTAACTTTTGCCGTATCAGGACAACAAAGCAGCCCTTCTCTGTGACCACTCATTAAAAATGTATTACAGAACATTAACATAATGTAGCAGCCCCCATTTTCTTTCAGGCATTTTCAAAGGGCATCTCAGACCATAGTATTTTCAACTGAGTGTGCAAAAAACAGATCTACAAAATGATCAGTAAGGTGAGATACTAGTGTCTTTCTGTTTGAACATGAATATTCCATGTTTTGGGGATATTGTGATTTAACATTCAGATATGTAGTATTTAAATGTCAGGATGCTGGTACACTGTTAGCAATCTTGGATTTAAGAGCCATTATCAAGCAACCAGCCTAATGCACACAACACAGTTTGCTAATATGTAAGAAAGATGGCCTGAATGTTGCCCTCAAATGCACAAAAAGAATTTTCTATATATACCACCTCAAAACAGTCTTTGGCCTTGCTGAATAATCATAGAGTAGTATTTTACTCTGATGCAAAATAAGCCTTCAAGTGTCCCTTACTTGATCTTAGAAGGTCAAATTCTCTGTCCAACAATTCCTCTTCTGTTAACTTGGAAAAATTATCCTCTCCAAAAGGATTCCACCCTGACATATCAGGTGGGTTACTGATGTTCTTCTGGTTTGTAAAATTTGCAACCTTGTCTTTCTCAGACATTGACCTATTACGACAATTGAGAGGAAAAAAAAGAAAACAAAAACATAAGAATTTTTAAAAACTACAATGTACCAGCTCACATTTTATAAATGCTTAAATAACTAAACCATTTTACTATAGTGGAAACAGCAGGTCATGGATGGAGAGAAAGGGAACTTAGGATCTGAACCATCTCTGTAACATATGCTAACTTTGTCATCTCCTGTGTAAAGAACACTAGTTGGGGTCCTTAACTTCTCTGTACCTCAGCTTCCTTAGGAAAAGCAGAAGAGAGACAGTATACACCACACAAGGTTACTGAGGAGATTAAATGATTTAATATATATAAAGCACAAAAAACAGTACCTGAGAATAATAAAGCAAGTACTCGATAAATATTGGTTATTATTTCCACAGTTTATAAGTTTGAAGGTAAAAAGCACCTACTACCAATAGTATTACTTCGAAATAGCTATTTACTAAAAATTGTCCTGGTTGTACAAGATACTACAGTAATTATCCTTTTGAAAAAGATAGCCCTTATAAATACCCATAGAGGATGAGCTGCTTAAGACTGCTTTCTGAAGTAGGTGAATTAAGTGATGGTCATTTTATATATCCATAATAAGTTATTCCTGCTGCTTAAAGCATCTTTAATCTGGATCCTGAGAGCACTGGCTCTTTGGAAGTTACCTGACAGGCTCCTGAGCTTTTCAGGGAAGATATGAGTCTAAATATTTCTTAACCCAAGAGTCCCTCGGTACCTTTCCCTAAAGCCAAGTCTGAAATCACAGCATAGGAATGAGGTAATATGAAAAAGATGTCCAATTCCTTTCATAATAAAGAAGTAGATCCTCTAATACTGACAGTAGAAAGAGAATGTCCATGTTCAAAGAAGTATTAGAAGAGAAATAAAAATTAAGATAACCACTTAATCCTTATTCTAAGTTCCCTTGGTACATCTGAGCCAAGAACAGGATGTTTAAACAATAATTCAAGGTTACAGTACAAAGAGAAATACAGCAATACACTTACAAGTAAGAACACACTTGCTTAGTAAATAGAACTTAAGTATTGCCATTGCCCAAATCTACCTCCATCGGATAGAAGTTCACGCTCACCTCTAGCCCCAAAAATGTTTTCAAGCACTTTCAGGGTTCTTAGGACACCCAGAGTGAGGAGAAAACTCACGAGCATGCTCCCTCCTGTCTGTCAATGATTTCTTTCTGATTCTCTCTCTGAATCACACAGTCTCATTCCTAGGATGAATGTATGAATTCTTGGCAGACTGTACTCAACAGTATGTAATCATAACCCAAAATTTGAAGACATTAAAATATATCTATAAGGGCTAGAGATGCAGCTCATTCATAGAGCACTTGCCTGAGGCACAAGGTTAACCCCAGCAACACACACACACACAGTGTACATAGGTGTGTGTGTGTGTGTGTGTGTGTGTGTGTACAAGTCCTTTCTGCAAAGGTGAAACCTCTTTCTGTTGTTTGTCACTTTCCTATCCTAGCTACAACTTCTTGCTTTGCACATATAGCACAGGGTAAGGACTCAGAGAACAGAAGAGAGGACTAAGCAGAGAAAAAATGGGGCTCTACCAACATGGACTCTTAAGAGTTACAAAATATTCCACTCTACAACTGCATCCATTTCCACAACAATTTGCTTCACAATGACAGGAAAAATACTTGCCTACTAGCACTGTAAGAGGAGTCTATTACAGTTCCAATCTGAGCTGGAAGAGATGAAGTGTAAGAAACTAAGGCTGGTGAGAACTCTTGAGGGGAGGTAAGATATTCAGGTGACGCCTGCTGTCGAGACTGCTGATGCTGAGCTAGCATCTGCTGCTGCTGCAAGAAAGCCTGCTGATACTGCTGCATCTGAAACAACAAACAATACCATCCAAATGAACCCTCAACTCGTCAAAGCATTTTCACTTTCACAAATATTTACTGTATTTCTTCCTTTTCAAATGGGTAGCAAACTAGAAATCCTGAAAACAATGTATATTTGAAGGACCAGCTCTGCTAACTGGAAAACTATTCTAGGATAAATGATATCTATTTCAAAAGTTGTAAACCGAGGCTTCCTTAACCATTTTTTACAAATCCTCCTTTATCTATTTCCACTGGCTAAAAGCAATGGTTGCATAAGCACGACAGGGCCATAAGGCAGCTTGTACCACCGGTGACACATGCATGACTATGCCATTAGCTACTTCGTACCACTGATGACAAAAGTGGAACAGTCATGCATGGGACACTCATGTACCACTGTGGTTCAAGCTACCAAGCATTAAGACATAGTCCCATCATGAATATGTGAAATATTTTAATAAAAACATGAGTACTTAAAATTACTAGTATAATAATTACTATTAAAAAGATCTTGAAGTAATATGTACCTGAAGCAAACATACTTTTTAAGTTTTATTTTATTCAACAGATATTTACTGAATAAAAGGGACACAGGGCAAAAGACTGGGTAGCAGATCATTTTTCTTATGAAAGAAACATGGTATCAGTCAACTGCAGTATGCCATTTTCAGGTGCTACAGGGCAGCACAATTAAAGGCTGCCTGAGAATACATGACAGTCTTCAATATAACAGATGTCAATTTATTCACCTGAACTAATTTTGGTTTGTTTTTTTTTTTTTAATTTTTATTTATTTATGTGTGTGTGTGTGTGTGGCCAGCTCAGCCCACCAGGGGGCGGGGCTGGCTGGCATGTGGTGCTGGGGGATTGAACCGTGGTCCCTTGCTTTGCTCAGCTTGTTCTAAGTAGGTGCTTTAGACCACTGAGCCATCTCACCAGCCCCTCACCTGAACTAATTTTGAATTGTTACATTCTGTATGATACTACTTATACTGTAAACTCACACCAAAATTATAATACATATCCAGAGAAATTTCTAATACTTATATGACACTTACCACTGTAGGACACTGTGATGTTGGAGGTTGTGGACGATATACTGAATGCATTAAAAACTGCTGCTGAAGTAACTGTTGCTGTTGCACTGCATGCTGGTACTATAATGAGAAAATAAAAACAATAATCAGTACTATTCATGCCTTTATATGCCCTAACACCTATGTTATAAGTACTAATTCTACCAGAGCAGTAACATGGAAAGTTGATGTGTGTAAGTAACCATAACTTATATATTGTTATCTGAATTGTTTTATTAATTGTCAATGAAATTAGTTAATTGTTTTATTAATTGTCAATGAAATTAATTGTTTTAATTAACTAAAACATTCATCACAGTTTATAAAGTTGTTAGGAAGAAAGCTGATGCTGCATATTTTCCTCATCTATTTCCAGAGCATAAATATAACTAAAGCAACTTCTGCAGAACTCCTTACAGTAAATCCCACTCTCTTCAACCTCACCTTCAGTGGTGTCCTCTGGCCACCCCCTGCACCATTTCCTTACTCCGTTCTACTCTAGCAATATAAAGCAAAATTAGAGGACAGTGCCACCTCTTAAATATCAGACACACAATTGACTCAAAAATATTTCAGAAAATGAACATGATGGTAGTAACAGTAATTCAACTCAAAATAATTCACTGAAACTAGGAATTTGCAGATTCTAATGAAGTAAGGCACAGAATGGAACATAAGCTCATTTTTGCCCTTCCAAGTGTAAATATATCTTCCTGCTCCCATGCTAAGTCAGTAGAAAAAATAAAGAAATCTAAGACAATGTTACTTGTAAGGATTAGTATCATTTTCCCACAACAGCATTATTAGTCTGTGAATCCAAACTGTAACTTCAAACAAGTAATACTCACTATAAACTGTGGTGCTTATTCCCAAATACCACATGACTACATGTATATCCTGTACTTCCAAAGGCCATGATAAAACCCAGTTTAACAGTGTAACCTTCAGTATTCTGTCAAAAGCACATTATCTACATATTGTTTTATATTCAGGAAATCAGTGAAATGCTTGCTTCGAATTTGTGAGTTTAAAAGTGCTTGAGTGAATTACATTTCTCACTGCTGAGGCAAAATACTCAATACCCAAAGGTAAAGGAGGAAAGGGTTATTTGGCTCACAGTTGGTAAAGGCTTCAGCTCATAGCTGGTTGGCTCCAAGACAAAGTGTCACGGCAGAGAGAGGGACATCACACAGTAGAAACAGTTCATGCAGGCAAAAGTCAAGTTAGCAATAAATGGCATTAGAAGCTTCTTTCTGTCCCTTTATATTCCATCTAAGCTACCCTTAGTGCAAATAGCACTCATAATCTTAACTATGCCTATCAGTGGATTAATTGAGTACTTATATGCCCTTAATTCTAGCATCATATACTCCAGATCCTGCCACCTGTGAACACACCCCACTTACAACCACTCAAGGCTTTTGGAAGACAGCTGGGCACAAGCCATAACATTCTGCCTCTGAACCCCCAAATATTCATGTATATCCCTTTATGCAAAAGGCATTTAGTATAGCTCCAGGAGCCGTCAAAGTCCTAAGAGTTGCAGCACTGCTGAAAATTCCAAGTCCAAAGTCTCCTCTAAGATTTAAGACATGGGTAAGGCTTTTTCAGAGGTGCTGTGTACGCATCTACAGTATGTGTACTGGATCACGGACGTAATACTGGGACTGATTCATGGTTTTGTGCTATTATTAAGGATATGAGGGGCTGGGGAGATGGCTCAGTAGAATAAGTGCTTGCCTGACAAGCACAAGGAACTGAGTTCGATCCCTGGTTCCACAAAAAAAAAAAAAAGAGGATATGATTGCTACCTGCCCTAACAGTGGGTGTCCTGGATAAAATTTAAGAGACAGAAAGAGTCGCTTGCTACTTGCTGCTTGCTGCCTTCTGCTTGTTTACTCCACAATGCACCTCTGCCATGCCTCCCTGCCTTGGAGCCAGTCAGCTATGAACTAAAACTCTACAAACTGTGAGACAAATAAATCTTCCTTTTTTTAACCTTGGAGATCCAGTATTTCATCCCAGCAATGAGAAATGTAACTAAGGCAGTACCCATGATACAAAACACTATTCTGTGATATTCCACTCCTGTATGAATTACATAGCACTACCCCATATCCAAAGTAACGGAGGGTTACCTGCTGCATGTAAGCATCCTGAAGTAACTGTTGCTGCTGTTGAGGATGGCGATGCTGTGAATGAAGCTGCTGTAATCTCCAGTCTCCCTGTTGGAGTTGCTGGAGGACTCTATGCTGCTGTGGCGGCTGCTGAGGGATACCCTGCCCAAGTAAACTTTCAGGTCCATTTCCAGGTCTCAAGACTCCTAAGATAGGGTTCCAAAAATTTTCATAAATGTACTAGTAATTTCAGCAAAGTAGCTAGCTCTCAATATTCTTTACATTTACATTAATTTATAAATGAAATCTTCTAAAGAATTATACTCTAAAGAATTTACTGTAACTTTAAGTGCCTATGAAACTTACATATACTCTAAAGAATTTACTGTAACTTTAAGTGCCTATGAAACTTAATTTTGTCATCTACAATTCTGAACAAATCCTAGAAACATTCTTTTCTATGCTTTATCTCTCCACAAACACATCAGCCTAACAGTTTGACCTATATATCTCAACTGTATCATGTACTATTATGAGTATTCTGATTCTCTAAATCTCTAACGCCACTTCCACCTATTCACATGTCCTTTAAAGTTTTATCTCCTTATTCCTTCATCTAACAGTTCCATTCAATTTATTACTTCATTCTGTCTTGCACAAATGAATGGCCATGATTTAGCCCAGGACCCTGAAGGACAGAATGATACTTATCATTTGTTGGAGATGTAAAAAGCCTTTTATGCTTACTGTAATGTATCTATTAACATTATCTCCTAAAAGGACATTTATTCACAAGCTCTATAAATTTCATCTTTAAAAAATTCTACAGATACACTTTTGAAATTAACCAAAAAATAAAAATTATATAATATCCAAAACAGGGAAATATAATGCCTAATACACTATAATTTCTGTATTCTCTCCTAGTCACTTGCTCTTATTCAAAAACAGCTATATGGCCAGTTTGGACATTTCATATGTCCCACAGGTCCATGTGTTAAAAGCTTAGTCCCCATGGTGACACCACTGGGAAGTAGAGGACCTTTAGGAGATGTGGCTTATGGAAGGTTCTTAGGTCATTGGAGCTGCACTCTTGAAGGGATCGTGGGACCCCAGCTTCTTCCCCTTTTGCTTCCTAGCTATGAGGTAAATAATCTGTTCCAACATGTGGTCAATGCATTGCTATCCAGGATCTGTATTATTGTTGTTGACTTTATTCCCCCCAATCTAAAATATTTTCCAAAAATGATGGTACAGATTGGTGCTTACAACTTAGAATGGTTTTTTTGTTTGTTTGTTTTCCAGTCAGGCATGATAGTACATACCTTTAATTCCATCTACTTGGAAGGCTAAGGTTGGAGGATTATGAGTTTGAGACTAAGTCTGGAGTAACTGTGCGAGTCTCTGTCTCAAAATAAGTAAAGGCCAAAGAATAGTTCAGAGGTAGTGTTTACCAAGCATGAATAAGGTACTAGGTTCAACTGCCAGTGCTACAAATGGGAGGAATATAAATTGCAGATTTTAATTTTTTTTATTTTATTATTTATTTATTTAGCAGTACCTGGGATTGAACTCAGGACCCTGTGCTTGCCAAGCAAGCACTACTGAGCTATCTCCCTGGGCCCAATTGCAGATTTTAGAGAGTAAATGTTACCTCTGAATCTGAAGGGTCGAGTGTAGGTGAAGATTCACCTCAAGGGAACCCCAATTTGTACTTTATTTCATGATGAATTTGTCTTTTTAATGTTAAATGTTTTCATTTAGTATATATGATGGTGAAAAGCCCATTCTTTGAAGTTCTTGAATCTGGTTTGAGTACTTATCTCATTTTTTAGTAATGTAACTTTTAAAAATTCTAGTACATATTTTATGGGATCGTTGGAAGGATTAAGAAACTGCTTAATATATAGTACCTGGTATAAATTATAACCTAACAATAACTACATAGTGAGACCCTGTTCAAAAACTCAACAACAACAAAAAAATGCTCATCAACTGATGGATAAAGATGTGATTTTGTTTGTTTTCTTGTCTTCTGAAGGTGGCATTTTTTATACAATTTTATACAAGTATATTTTTTATACTCTAAAGAAGGATAAACCTGAGACATTTCTACCTAAATGGATGCACTCTTTAAAATGAAATAAGTCGGATACACATGTATAACCATCACACTGTTTCTCTGGTATAAGAAATCAAAAATGTATGTAAGGACCAAAATGTATAATGAATATTGTAAAATAGGAAGAAAATCTACAAATGGGAAGGAGAACTAAGGGGGAGCGTAGGGGTAAAGAAAACAAGGAAAAAGAAAAAAAAAAAATAAGAATGGAAAAAATGGAAACAAAGCTTTTGTAAATAAGGAGGGGAAGAGGGATTGAAGGGAGAGTAGAACAATGGGGGGGGAACCAAGTTATATCATGCACACAGGTACAAATTCCCTATGAGTGTGATCATTATGCACACCTAAAATGTACCAATAAACTTAATTAAAAACAAAGAAAAAAATACTTTTCCTCAAAATCAAATGAGACCAGTTTTCACAACGCAATGTCCACGTGATTCCTTCACCAAACTCTGAAAAACTCCCAGCTATTTCAAGCTGATTTTATTTTTTCGGAACCGGGGATTGAACTCCGGCCCTTGTGCTTGCCAGGGAAGCGCTTACTCTACTGAGCCACCTCCCTGGCCCCTTCACCAAACTCTGATTCAGTGCAAAGACAAAAGTTTCTAAAAATAGAGACTCAACTACCTTCCTTCCAGCACAACAGAGAATTTTCTATACTTTGGAAACTTCTCAGTACCTATCTCATCACTGTTAGTTGATAATTCTACAAATAGAGTTTATATTTATAGAACCAAAGCAAATTGTGAGCTTTCTGTATCATGCTTTTACACTGCCAACAAATTCCCCTTGTTTACCTTTAGAAAAACAGCCAAGTTTATTGCACATCAGTAGGAAGAATCTGAAAACTTTGTTACCTGCTTTTAAGTTTGCTGGTAATTTATACCTGTAGAAAATGAAACCAGAAAATGTTTATTTACACTGACAAAGAGGGAACAAGGTTATATTACCTTTTGGTCTGTGATTACCAAATTCACCAGGAGCAGGGACTTTCACAGGAGTTGCTGAACTTTGAATGGTCAGCACACTGGGAGTGGCAGTAGTACAGTTGGCCTTTGGTCTTTGTCTTGGTGCGATTGAGGTTTCTGTTGGTCCAATGGTATCTGTTATTCTACAATAGAGAACACATTTTGTTCTGAATATTGGGATTATTTCTAATCTACTTTTTTTCTGTAAAATATCTCAAGAGATGCGTTTAATTATTATAAATGATCACTTTGTTCTCTTGGCTTCCTTCTAAGTCTCAAACAGTACATGTTTAATGATGACCACACAGGAAAAAAATTAAAATTAACCATTTTCTTTAAAACAGGATGCTATTATTTATAATTTACTGTAGAAGGTGCTGGAAAACAGTATGATCCTAAAGATTACCTCTAATGAAATGAGATGACACTGAGAGAAAACAAACAAAAACCTTCTCACAGGGTTTGTAAAAAGAAATAAAAACCAACTCTTTGAAGAGAAACAGGAAGAAATAACTTCCCCTAACTTGGACTCTTTAATTTACATATTTATCATTTTTTCTTTCTAGAAGTTCAATATAAACTTAAATACTTTCCAAGTGGGTCAATTTTTCACTTTCCAACATGATTAGCCATAAAATCTCTTCATTAAATTATCTCAACACATTTTAAAATGATTTAATACTTAAAAAGTTTTACGTACATATGACTTATTAAACTCCCAGCCACCATATGTAAAGAAAACTCTATCTATATTGCAAACCTGGACTGAAAGACACTAATTACTACATCATTTTTACCGTGCCTTCCTAATATCTACATACACCACAAGAGGGAACTCAGTTAACAACTCTTTCCAACAGGAAAGACAAAATTAAGTCAGATTTTTAAAAAGCATAGAAATACATGGTGTGTTGTCTTCTAAACAATAACATTTTAAATGAGCTAAGGCAATAATAAAAGATCATTTATACATACAGACAATTATCTCATTTTAACAAGTATTTATAAATTCAAATTAGAATGTGGCACTAAAATCAATGGTATATTACCTAATCTCAAGTAATTTGGAAGAAACATTGTATACAATCATTTTTGTTTAGCTCTCCATTTGTTATTAGTGGGTTGTACAGGCTAAACTTCACCTTTCTACATTTCTGGTCTAAACTGCTCTTTAGAAATACACAACAGGCATGATCATAGAGGAATCTTCTAAAAAGCATGTTACAAGTCAGGAAGGCCTTGTTCAATCTATGTCTTATTTATTCAATAATGCATTAATATTTAAGGTATATTACTGATGTCCACCATATAACATTCTATCCTCAAAGAATTTATAGGACACATTGAAAGATAAGGCATGTGTTGGTGAAAATATAATAAAACCCAAGAGTCAAATACTCAGAGCCAAGATAGTGCTGCCAAGAGTTTCATGAAGTAATTCTATCCTTTATGTGGCTGAAGAAAAGACTTCAGGCAGGTACTAAAGATTGACAATTTTAAATAAATATTATTTCATTAAACAGCAAACAAAAAGGCTAAACATTCTCTGTGAAGGACGGCAAAAAATACCTTGGACAGATTAAGCAGAGAAGCAAAACCTGGACTGAAAGACACTAATTACTACATCAACACTGCTACACTCTTGTACTGTCTCATTTTTACCATGCCTTCCTAGTGTCATTTTCTGTGCTTCCCTCCTCAGGGTCACTTGAACAATCTTCCTAAAAAAGACCTCTCTCCTCCTTAAACTCCTTCAATGTGACCTTCTGCCAAAGCACATTTCCATCTTTTGGGCACATATGTCAAGTAAACTTCACATGTTTAACGGTATCAAGAACATATGTCAAGTTTGGGTCTCTGAGAAGTAGGGTGCCACAGACTGAAGGCAGGGTGGGTGGGTTAAAATATTCATTAATGTCTGCTAAATAAGGAAATTATTTCTGTAAAGATTCTTCCTTTAAAATACGGCATTTACATGAAAAACCTAATTTGTAATATTTTTATACACATTTACATTTTTTCAAATCCTAGCAAACATCTGAATGACTGATCAGTACCACTGAACTTTGTATTTTAATATACATAAGGCACAGAATTAAAATACTACAATAAGCTCTACAAATTTATTAACTGATTAAAATCATAAAAACTATATACATTAATAGGCTACCAGGTTGCATTTTGACATGTATATATAGTTTAAAATAAACACTGAAAATACAAATGGAATTATTTCATTTGTTTATGATTGTATAGCTACAATTTTTGTCATAGTTAAAACATTCAAATCATTCTTGTTCAGTTGACTCATTTTTAATGTGCAACTGCCTTTTTAAAGATTTACTGATCAACTGTTAAAAACAAGTAACAATAAAATACAACTAACAAATCTTACAATAATTCATAATTACCACTCAATAATAACAATGACTACTAACTAAAGTTCTGTCACACAAAGGAGAGACTGCCAGATTGCTGCAGGATAGATGTAACTTTATCCCTTCCTTAAGACACCACTTTGAAATTGAGAGAAGATACTTTTAGAGTGATATTAGAACATTTTAAAGTCATAAATGATATTTTAACAATTTATTAGTAAAGATTATGTCTAACACAACTCATAACCAAGTCAGAGCTGACTGGAAGTTCAGGATTCACTGACCTCAAGACAAAGCCCTAATTTCTCAGCACGCTGCATGAACCTGGTTGCCTGTGACTGACATGTTCCTATCACACTAACCTCCTTCTCACTATTCCCCAGGACTTTCTCTTACATGACAGACCTATACTATCACCAGGACCATCACTGCCTGACTGCCCGCCTGCATTAGTTTCATTCCAACACCTCCAAGGTACTAAGAACTCAATCCTTCAAGAAAGAATTCTGCAACCCTCAAAGAAAGCATTCCTTTCACCCTTTTGTCTTCCCTGCTCCCAGGCTTTTGCCTTCCTTCTCACTCTCAGAGTGGTACACACATTGTGTATCAGGTTGTAATTGTTTACAATTACAATGGCAAACTTCCTGGAAATAACTATTTCTTCTTCTCTGTAATTCCAGTAAATGAATCTTGCATATATTATATTTTTATATATCAAATAATTAGCATAAGATACAATACAAAAACAGGTATAACCCAGAAATTTCCCCAAATGCAATACTACCTTGTCTGATAATCAAAGAGCTGATCCTGTTTATTAACTTTTACACTCAAAAATGTTAAGTACAGAAACAAGCCATTAAAAGTTAACATGATACAGCTGTTTTTTGAGACAAGGCCTCACTACACAGTTCAGGTTAGTCTTGCTATGTAGCACACGTTGGATTGAATTTGTGACCATCTTCCTGCCTCAGCCTCCCAAGTGCTAGGATTATAAGTGTGCACCACCATGCCCAGCTCACATAATATTCTTCAAACTCTTATATTAGATATAAATCCTGAATCTAATATTCAAAAGGTTTCTACTTGCTATTATGGTTTGTGTCTAGTTGTTTCCCCAAAACCTCACATGGGCACAAGGTAGGGCGTTCTGGAGGTGGCTGAATCTAGAGTGTATGATACTGGGATTAGGGATGAGATGCTGAGCTTCTTCAAGGTGTGATGCTTAGGATTACAAGTGCTCCACTCTGGGTGTACGTGACCAGGTAAGTAGTCTGGGTAGGATATGAGAGTGAAAGAGGGCTGCTGTCATCGCTTGCTATTTCCTAATTCACTCCCAAGAACTCTTTCTCTTCCATGATGCCCCTCTGCATGCCACCCTGCTTTGGAGCCACCCAACTATGAACTGAAACCTCTACAAATGATGAGCCAAATACACCTCTCCATTTTAACACTGGGTGTTGGGTGTTTTGTCTGAGAACTGCGAAAAGTAACTAAAACACTTGCTATTTAAACCACAAGCCACAAGCAACATACATTTTTTTAAATGGGCAAAGATGATATTTTATCAATGACATTTGCTAGGGTTAAAACAAGACCTACTGAACAATTTTCTTGAAATGCCCTTTTAATTTCAATTTTATCATAGCTTTGCCTACCTGGCTTTCATTTGGCTTTTCCTAGCAGCTGCTTCAGTAGCAGTCATAGGTTCAGGGAGAGCTGAAGGAATTGAAGAATTCTTGGAAGAAAAAAAATAAAACTTTTAGTTTTTAAGTACAAAAAGTTTTATTAAGCTATGGACAAGTTACTGAACTTAAAAAATGTTACCTTCGAGATATTATTTTCCCACCAGAAACCTACAAATTATTCACATGTATCTGCCATATCTACTCTGTAAATATCACTAAATATCATATACATGTCACTTTCCCCCAGAAAGTTTTGGTAAACTACACAAAATATCTCTGGATGCAATGCACAGATGGATAAAACTTAGGTAAAAATGAATATACTTTTAAATCAATGACTGTTCTCCACTTGAGAAAAAGTTAATGCCAAGGGTGAAGATAAAGTTTCTAGCTATTATATCACAAATAATTTTCAGAAAGTGGGGAAAAAGGGCTTTATTTGTTTGTATCCAGTATTTGACTCAAGGGAGGCAATCATTAAGTATTACCTAAGTAGAAGTTTAAAAATCAAGTAAAATGGCTTCATTAGCAGAATGAATAGTTGCAACTTCAACAGGGAAAATATTAAATTGACATGGCAAAAACAAAAATAAATTCATGCTATTTTTTTAAAGTAGTGGGTTGAGTTATACATAAAATAAACATGTTAAGAAGTCAGGCCAGGGCCGGCCGAATAGCTCAACAGATTAAAGCGCCTGCTTACGCAGACGCAGCAGATGGGGCTGGATCCCTAGACGTGCCGGCCCCACCCAGGGCACCAAATAAAATTAGAGATGGTAGCATACGCATGTAATCCCAGCTCTTGGGAGGCTGAACACAGGCAGATCACTATGAGTCTAATCTATGCAGTGAGACCCTGTAGACCTTATAACTAAAATACAAAAAAAAAAAAAAAAAAAAAGGCCAGAATGACTTTTATGAAATTGAGAATGGCTTAAAATCAGTGATTCTAGCAAACTTTATTAAAATAAGCAGAGATTTGCATACAGTTCATCTGAAGTAGTCAATGTAGTATGTAAATAGCAAAAAGCATTCAAAGCCTTTGCATATATTAACTATTTATAAATGAACACCTTTCATGCACTATGGATTCTGAGTTGTAATTAGTCATAATCTTTACAATTACTAGTTTTGTGTTTTGGGGGGGATAACCTCAAAAATATGCAAGACCAATCACTGATACAGATAAAATAAACTGAGGCCTTTCTATTTACAATGTCTTTGCTATTTGCACTAAAGGTCTGCAAATTTTCTCATTTAACAGAGTATTTAGTGTCTGTCTAAACAAATTTTTCATCATACCTCTAGGCAAAATGAAACAAACTAGTCAGTCATTTTGATTAAATAGCTAGACCTAAAACAATGAGTGAAATGTCTATGTTAGATGGTCATTATATTTTGCTCTTAAATGAAACATATTGTTTAGGGTACTTCAAGACACAGGTTGGGAAACATGGCTTTTTATCAAAACTATAATCATAATCATAGCGTAAGACCACCTGTCATAAACAATTAACAATCAGAGTCTATACACATGTACATGATAAAATGGATTTTCAATTCATACCGCTACTTAAAATACTACTCACATTGATGTTGGATACTGGACAATCCTTTTTGGCAAATTTAAAAGCAAAATAAGATACTTGAAATATATCAGGTCTATGCTCTGGGTCTGGTTCAAGCATGAACCCTGTAAGAATAAATCAAATGTTAAGACATTTTATAAAAATGTCTCTGTTCCATTCAAAAATCAATGACTAGCAAATTTCGTTAATATTTCAGAAAGTAAAAAATTGCCTGTAATTGCAGCACCCAGGAGGCTGAAGCAGAAGGATGGCTGAGTCTGAGACCGGCCTGGGCTAAAAGAAAGCCCCAAGTTAGCCTGAACTACTGTATCAAAAGTACAAAAGTAAACACAAAAGTCTCTCTCAAATAAATAAAATTATAAGTCAAAATTAAACTCAGATCAGCTAAAAACACAGCAATGTGACAATTAATATTGAGCGCAAAACTTTGGAAATTTATCTGGGAATTCTGGGGTACATTTTAAAAAGTACAAAAGCTCTACATGTAACACTGCCTCATACATTTAAAATGCTAACATAACATTTTTAAAAGTTACTCTTTATATTTTAACACCATTGTTAGATTGAAATAACTAAAAACATTTTAATTCAAATATCACTTTATATTTAACCAAAAAGACTTGAGGACTCTACAAGGTCATATCCCCAAAATAAATCATATTTTATTTTGATACCAAAAATATTAAATGTTTTAGAAGCAACAACAGAGTATAAAATTCTATAGAAGTAAATTTAACACTGCTTATTCATACGATTTTTAAAACCAAGAAATAAGAAACATAAAATTCATGAAATTAAGAACATGTTTTTCTACTATAACAAATACATTTGGCTTTTAAGATTTCAGTTCAACAGCAGCTAATTCTATTATTTGTTCCTATAAAAGCAAGAACTGGCACATAAAATTATTAGGATTTTTAATATATGAGAAAATTAGGACTAACAATTCATTGAGGGCTTGGACAGACAAAATAATGAGGACAGTAAGCAAAGAACATACAATGATTCTAAATATAGCCCTAAAATTTAGATCTCTGCTTTCTAGCTGTCAGTATAAATAGGGCAACAAGATCCATTACACGAATCACAGAATCCTTCACACACACACATAAAAAAAAAACAAACCAGGTGCTAAATAAAAGTGTTCCTGCTATGAGAGCAGAGAGTATTCTCCCTAGGGTCTTTGGGCTCACACTGAGTGAACAGTGAACACCATCTTGAGACACTGCAGTGATGCAGGACTTCCTCTTACCCCATCCTGCCACGTGGACTGGTGGCATAAACCTAAATGCCGGTCAAACCAAAGAAACTTGAAAGGATCAAAGGCACGGCATAATAATGTACTTCACCAGAGGCCCTAGCTCAATCCATGAGAATTGTTTTAAGTACCTAGAGAGAAACAGTACGATCCTTCTAGCAATTCTAACTGGTTTTTATTTCTTTTCTTTCATCATAGTTGAGAAGCATCAAGTAGAAGGAAACAAATTTTAAGATTTTCCTGTTCTAACCAACAACGGTACAAGTAGGTCTCTCTCAAATTAAGCATTTACTACATCCTTTAATTATTAGGTAATTAGGCTAGAAGTAGACATTATAAGAAAACAAAATGAACTTCTGGTAGCCCTGGTTGATGCTCAGCCATGCCCTTCCACGTTTCTGCCTTGGAGGCAGCTAATCAAGTGACTGGCCATGAGTTATACTTCTCCTTTAGGTTGTGCATATTGAGTGCTATGTCCCAATGACAGGAAAGTTGACTAATACAAAACATTGGTACCAGGAATGAGGCTATTGCTAGGCCAGTACCTAACTGCAGACTAGACATTTTTGGAAATAGTTTGCAGGAGAAATTTGGAAAAGTCAGGAAATGTGGGCTATAAGAGCCTTAGAATTCCATGAGAAGAGCCTGGCTTGCCAGAGCTCAGAAGACTACAATGCTATTAGGAATGTTCAGGAGGATTCACTTAGAAAAAAGGACTCTATGGGCAGCTAGACTAGAGGCCATGTGTGTTTCAGTCAGGTAAATAATTTCTGTATATTTGCACATATCCTCAGGAAGCTGGTGATGCCAGGAATGCGGAAGGTCTGCTGAGGAAAGCTACAGTCCAGAAGAGATGTCACAAGGACTATAAAAGGCAAAGCCACAGGGCTGAACCCACACAACTCCTCTGGAACTCACATCTTACCAACACGTGCCTGGGATGCCAAATATGGAGTTATAAGACATAATATTTGCCCTCCTGGGCTATGGTTTCGCTTTCATCCAATTGTTTTCTATCTCTATCCTTTCATTTGGAATGAGAATGTTTCTCCTGTGCTATGTGCCTCGGTATTATGTACCTTTTTTATTTTTACAGAGGTTTACAATTAAGAATTCCCTTGGAGTTTCAGAAGAGACTTGGACTTTAAAAAATGTTGTAACTGCTGAGACTTTGAAGAGAGGTTTCAGTAGGATGAAAATTATATCATGTTAGGCAGAATTATGATTTATTTATCTGGAGAATATTACTTAAGGAGATATGTTTGGGAGTCAAGTTAACAAGTGGTGGAATGTGACAATTTACACATTCACAATAGGGCCCTAACTCATAAGTCTTGCTGCCAGGCATCTCTGATTTGAGTAGACTATCCCATCAGGTGACCTGAACCATCATTGGTGCATGTATAACTGTCCCTCTGGGAGTGGCTTGTACTGATTCTTAGAGCATGTTTAATTATAATAATGCAAAGAAAGATACTGATTTAGCAGAACAGATATGTCATATTACAGTTCCTTAAGAAAAACACTAAGATATTAAAAAATTATAATACAGTTAATTTGTGGTATAGCAATTATAAATGCATACTGTTTATACCAGGAATGGGGTACTTGTAAGACTTCCACGTAGAGTATTAATTACTAAACTATTAACTTCCAAAGAAATGCCATAGGCACAGATTATAGTAATGCCATATTATCTATAAAAATATATCCGTTGAGGCTGGGGAGATAGTTCGATAGTCTAAGCATCTGCCAGGCAAGTGCAAGGACCCAGGTTTGATCCCCAGTACAGCATGTCATGCCAGATTCACACCATGCCTGCCAACAAACTAGGCCTGGTGGTGCATGCCTTTAATCTCAGCACTGAGGAGTCTAAGATAGGAGGATCACAATAAGTCTGAGATGCATAGCAAGACCCTGTACCAAATAAATAATTAAAAAATATATATCTTTGAGGGAAAAGTAGATTAAAGAATACATGTGCACAGTTAACTCAAGTGGTATTAGGTGCTTAAGTTGAAAACAAAAGAGCAGAGAAATCTACAAAACACTCTTCTTTCATGAATCATACAAGGCCATTACTACTGATTCAGATTCCACTATAAATATAAAATCAACTTCTCTAAAAATTCAGCCATATAAAACCAAAAGGTCCTCAGAGTGCAGTGCCAGCCCTGCTCTTGGGGTGTGCTGAGACCACAATTGAGACTGGGCATGGTGGCACGCACCTGTAATCCTAGCTCTTGGGAGGCTGAAAACAGGAAAATCACTATGAGTACAATCTACACAGAGAGACTCTGCACACCCTGTAGACCCTGTCCTAAATTCATTAAAAAAAAAAAAGGTATTTCTCTGCTCATCTTGTGTAAATCTTCCTAGTCACACAAAATTAATCCTACAACCTGAGAACACAAAACAGTCTCAAAATTGACAGTTGTATATGATTAAACTACAATACTTCCTACTGATATTACATATCTGATTAAGACACACTTATTCAAGGCAGCTGAATTACGTTTATACTATTATTACATAGGGAAGTACAACAGCCTTGCATATTCCAACAAAAATAGCAATTAACAAAGTAACAGCAGCCAGGCTGTATTATGTTTTAATCAAGGATCTAAGCCAATATTACCATTAAGTTATACGAAACAATGGATCCATTCCTGGACTGTTGAAGAAAGTTAAACTAGCATCTCTACTCAACAAATTTAAAGAAAAAAATACTTTGGCCAGGATTACACCTGTAATCCTAGCACTGTAAGAAGCTAAAGCAGGAGGATCATAAGTTTGTGCCCAGTATGGACAATTTAGCAACTCAGTGAGACCCTGTCTCAAAAGTATAAAACATAAAATAGAAAGGCTAGAGATATACCTCAGTGCAAAGGCTGTTTGTTTAATCCCAATACTACAACCTCACCAAGAAAAGGTCTTTCAAGACTTCCTGCTTAAAAGTTTCTGTGATTACATTTATAAGAATTGAGCTGAAAAAAAATCACCCACTATTCTTTTTCAATGTTTATATAACTGCTCTAATTTTGCAGAAAATATTTCAAGCATCAACTTATTATTTTGTCTATCAACCTTAAAATATTATGACAGAGATTTACACGTTAGGTATATATGCCCTCCAAATCTTATTCCATGGAGCATGGAAATGAAACAAAATTTAATAGCTAATAATCAATGTTTAATCATCAATAAGACACTAAGCTACTATTCTGATGCCAGGAGAGCACATTTGGGATACTCCTAGTTAGTGATCATAGTTTTCTCTCCACAACTGTCCAACATCCAAGGAAACTCTAGCTTCATCTTTGATTTATTTACAAAGTGAACTAAAATGTCTTGAGAATTCTCTTCCAAAAATTATAAGAAAGGAGGGCCGGCGGTATAGCTCAGCGGACTAAGCGCTTGCTTAGGTAAGCACAGGGGCCAGGGATCAATACCTGGCTCCGCCTGCCGTGCCGCCCCACCTTCAGGTGCGCTGAGCCAGCGACAGAGTCCAGGCGCGGTGGTGCGCGCCTGTAATCCCAGCACTTGGGAGGCAGAAATCAGGAGAATCGCTACTAATGTGGGCTATGTAGTGAGACCCTGAAACCAAAAAAAAAAAAAAAAGAAAATCCAAAAATTATAAGGAAGGGCCAGCCAAATAGCTCAGCAGATTAAAGCACCTGCAAGCAGGAAAAAGGCAGGGGGTTCGATTCCCCAGGCCTGTGATGCCAGCCCCGCCCCTGGAATGCATTGAGACAAGGCATGGTGGTGCACACCTGTAATCCCAGCTCTTGGGAGGCTGTAAACAGGTGGATCACTACGAGTCCGATGTAGTAGTGAGACCCTGAACACCCTGTAGACCCTTCCCTAAAATAAAAAAAAAATTAAAAAAAAATTATATATATGAAAAAAGAGTGAGAGAATAGATCAAATAAAATTGTCCAGGAATTGATAACTGAGGCTGGGTAGTAGTACAAAAATGAACTGTATTTTTACTATCTACATATGCATGTATATTTTAATCACTATAATAAATTTAAGTATATGCAAACATGTAGTTCCTGGTTCCCCACAGGACAGGTATTAAACTCTAAGCACAATGCATGAGCAAAACTAAAGAAGCCATAAGACAGTAACAACTAAGCAGACCCAACAGAAAGTATTCTTTATAAAATACATTTTTTCCTCCTCTCTCACATTCTTTGTGTGTGTGTGTGTGTGTGTGTGTGTGCGTGCGTGTGTGTATTTTAGGGAAGGGTCTACAGAGTGTTCAGGGTCTCACTACTACAAAATAAAGTGTACAAAATAAAAAGGTAAAAAATAATTTAGTAGTTACATCTTAAAAGTACCTCCTGGGATTCTATGACAATTTATAGTAAACCTTTGGTTGATTCACCATGACTGGAAAATTCTGCTTCAAAGCATCCAAAGAAACCTCCAATGACTAAGAGCGGATGCTCTGTCCTTCACCCAGGCTATCAGAAATCAGGTTAGCTCAGGAAAACTTATGATAATGTTACTAAAGCTATTGTAGTGGCAGTTGTCACAGCAGTGATGAGGGCAGTATTAAATTCTCCTACAAGTACTTACACATTTGCAGAAACATTTTCCATAATACATTTAATTCTAACAGTAGCTCTAAAAGTTAAGTATTTTTAATATGCCCACAGGGAGACTGACATCAATGAAGACACCCAATGTTCCATGTCAAATAAGTCACAGAGAATGTAAACCAAGGCTGTTTGGCACAGGTCTTATTTGTCCTTAATCTCCTCAAGCACCTTGCAACAAGAATTTATAGGAGACTCACTCTTTATAAATATTCTGTAATCCCCTTAGTAATGATTTTGATTCTTCGCTGAATGTTTTCTAAACTCTTTTCAACTCTTAGATCCAAAAATGGAAAGTGCTTCTTTCCCAACCCCCATGGCAACCTAATTACTTGTCTACAGGGAAAGTCAACACAGACTAAGAAGAGAACGCTAAATAATTACTCCTGCTTTTTCAGAAAAAAGCGTACAGGAAAGAAAAATAAGTTAAGCTGAGTTTTATGGATAACAGATACTAGTAACAATGACCTTATATGAATTACTGATAACAAAAATTCATATTCAAATAATTTGGTAGCCACAAACCATAACTATACAATTAAACCATAAAACAAAGATTTGTCATGACTATTTTTTTTAACTATTTTCAGAAATTGTGGAAGCAAACAGTATTATTACTATTAATACTGAAACCATGTTTTTGTACCTTATCTAAATATGTGGGAACAATTATATTGCATTAATAGACATTGGAGGATAAAAAGTTTTACATTCTATAACTGAATACAGCTACATAATATTCTTGGTTTTCTGAATGTGGGATTTATTTAAGAGAGAGAGAGAGAGAGAGAGAGAGAGAGTGTCTGTGTGTGCGCGCGCATGCACGGGGTCTCACTAAACAGCTCAGACTTTTAGTGATCCTCCTGATTTCTGCCTCCCTAGTGCTGGAATTACAGGCTTGTACCACCATGCCTGGACTCCATCACCAGCTCAGCACGCCTGGGGGAGGGGCCAGCACAGCAAGCAGTGCCAGGGATCGAACCCTGGCCCCTGCATTTACCTAAGCAAGCGCTTAGTCCACTGAGATATATTGCTGGCCCTACGAATATAGGATTTATTTAAAAGCAATGTAAATCACTAGCTACATAACATAAACACATAGGATAAAGAATAGTGTTGCAAAGTATCCAAATGTTTTTTAGAAAACATATTATAGGTAAATATGTTGTTTTTTAAAATTTCTACTTTATTAAACATTGACTACTCAAGACAAAATTTATAAAATATAAAACACTTCGACAGGAAGTAAAGTTTATAGATATTATAATTTCAGATTGACTTGAATACTTTTTCCCTCCTTAACAGTAGGAAGCAGAGGAGAAATTGAACAGAGTTTTCACACTGAACTACATTCCCAAGCCTTTTTAAACAATATTCTTATTCTGAGATAGGGTTTTGCTAAATTTCTAAATTGCCTATGCAAGGCTCCAATCTGTAATCCTCCTGTTGAGATTACAGACATGCACCACCTGGCCTAGCTTAACTGTTCTTACGTTATTCAACGTATTTTATTTTTGGCATAAATTTATACCAGAAATGACAAAAATAAATCTGTACATTTGTTGACAAAAAAGGGAAGTATTTGGTGGATTATAAAGCATCAATTAACTAAAGTCCAAAGAGAATTTAAAATTAGTATTTATCTTGTCTACTTTCCCATTACACATACACCCCCACGAGGGAGCTGCTTAACCCAAGAAAGTATTTATTAACTAAATCACGTATTAGTCTATTAACTGCCCAATGAAAACAGTCAGAGAAACTAAGATACTGCAAAAATTCAAACTTCAATTATTACTAAAATATTACCCTTCAGCAAAATAGTGTTTATAGCTACAATGACTTACAAAAATCAAATCCTGCAAAAAAGGGCTAAAACTCAACTCGCAAGTGCAAACAGAAATTAAGCTCTTCAGTCTATGCTTAACCATTTGACATGGCCGGTTTATCGTGCTTTTGATCTTACAAAATCTGTCAATAAAATGGAAAAGCAACTAGATAAGATAAAGAAGGCTATGGGTCTAATGTTCAAAAATAATTTATGCATTGTAAAAAAAATTACATTGTGTAAAATAGCACACCAGAAGTACAGGATTCATGGGAAAAATAGAAGACTCATAGTACCCCATTTTAAAAGTATGTAACTGTCAGAGGAGACTGACAAAAAACATTAACTGGTCCGAGAAAGGTAACTTCAACTGCTCAGACAGGTAGCTCAACTCAGAGGAGGCTCCTCAAGGATGTAAAGCACACCAAACAATGTTGGCAAGTGCCCATCCAGTGAACATAAAAGTAAAGGCCCCAGGCAAAAGAACAGGTAGCCATTCACACCTATAGAACCACACAAAATGGAGGCAGAGATATAGGAGAGAAAACCCAAGTATGAGCACTCATACTCAGTGTTCTCAAAGAGTTAAATGTGTTCATGAAAACAGTGAAGCAGCCAAGCTTTGACTATTTCCCTTCCTGTGAAAGTTATTATCACCTACCCCACCCAATTATTATGGTTCCTCTTGCATAGGAAACACATCTCACATGACTATTTAAATAGTTTGCTTTTAACAGTTTGCTAAGTGAGCCTAGATTCTTTTTTATATACCTTTTACTTTTGAAATTTTTTTTAGTGTTTACACTTCTTGATTGGCACAAGCCTCACAAATTATAAAAGGTAGAGTCATCTGACTTTGTGCTGATGTTTAAGAGCACATCTTTTATACTATTAATGGAGGAATAGAGTAATTCTTCATCAGAATCGTAGTTCCTGGGACTAATTTATTTATTCTATTTTTACACATTTATCCCTATTTTCTTCAAATATGTGTTTAGTTTTTTTTTTTTTTTACATTTGAACCTTGTATTTATATGAAACTTTAGCATAAAGAATCAAGTAGATATCCAACTATCTTTTACCTGCAAATAGCTAAGAAATTTTTCTATTTCCATCCATCTTTCCTACTATTATTTTTAGCATATAAACATCAAACATATTTAAAATGACTCTCTTTTTCTTTGCTACTGAGCTAGGGGATACAACAGAAGTAGTTAAAATGCAGAAAATAACAGTATGGATGCTAGGTATAGCTTAAGTCAGTGCTCACGGATATTTAAGTACTACAGAGACCAAATACTATAAATTTTAGTACTTAACAATTCTCTTCCTCCTCTCAAGACATCTTTTTCCAAGCTTTTATTAATATACACATGAAACATTTAACTACATTACCAAAATGGAAGGAAAAATCTTACAAGAGACTAGAGAAAACTAAATTCTTTCAGAATGCAAGGCCTGGTATTCTACCCTTTTCTGGCCTTCTATCCCTTTCTGACATCAAACCTTTCTGGTTTTGTATTTATCTAAATGTTAAGAACACATATATTTTAAAAGGTTGGCAAGATATACAATATTTTGACTCAAAGAAATAATAGCTCTGTGTATTTAATTTCAGAAGTACAAAAACTAAGTAAATGTTATGCTGTAAGTGTTCCCATTCCCAGAATTCTAGCCACCTTGACTATTATCTCTGCTGTGTACTACTAAATCTTACCTAAGGACTTAAAAATATTCTTGTAGTAATCAATAATTACGCTGTTTTGTATTCTTTAAGTCATACAAACATAATTCTAAATGAAATTAAAAGACTAGGTTAAGTAAGGCAGTGTAAATAGCAGGCCCTAAAAGCATACTACCTTCCAAGTACTTACTTATTAAGCAATGTATGTTATGGGAGTACCGAGAATTGTCCGGGATGGTAAAGCTGCCATCACAGATAGCAACTTGACTTTCACCAAAAGGAAGAGTAAAGAAACAAAGTTTATATAGTAAACATCCTAGGGCCTGTAAAACAGAAGCATGAATATTATCAGAGTGGGCAGTCAACTACAGAATATTAACATTGCTCACAATGAAAAACTATGTTATTTTTTTAATTTGAGAATTTTAGTATTAGAGCAAACTTTTCACAAATTATTGTTTAAACATTGTTTAAATACAAAAAAACATATATTCATTTCCATTTCTATGTACATTTCTATATTTTTGTAATATATGTATGACCAGATGGCTAAACTGCTCCAAATCAAGTATAACTACAATTAATTAGACATGGCAATTTCCTTTTGAGAGGAAAATATCTCTTCCACAACAAAAAGATACACTTAGTACAAAATTAGCATGTATCATACAAAGTAAGCACAAAGCTCTAAAAGTGTATTTTAAATTCAATATAAGACCTGTTTTTAAAATCCATGTTAAACTTACATAAGCAAGATTTATTAAACACATTATTTCATAATATAGAATTAGTTCTCTATTTTTTTATATAACCCTACAATTTTTACTGTGTATTGTTCTAGTTATACAAAAGCACGAATGCATCTAGAAAAGCAGCATAGAAAGTTTCTAAGTAAATAACGGCTGGGGAGATAGCTCAGTTGAATAAGCGCTGGCCTGGCAAGTGCAGGGTCCTGAGTTCAATCGCCAGTACCACAAAAAATATAAAAAAATAAAAAATAAAAAAAGAAGTAAACAGCTCACACATGAGAAATAAGTTTTAAAAAGAAAAAAAAAATTTGACTTAAATTATACTTTGTTGGTCACCTGCAAGCTTTAAGAACCTAAGAACCAGTTTCAATTCTAAACAAATTGTTTAAAAGTATCTAATCATTAACATAATTATATCAGCAATATTTTAATTTGATCTTACTATCTAAAAATTAGCAAATACAATTCTTTTGTTGGATTTTCCCCATGTATCTACTTTGTTTTTTGGTTTTCTTTTTTATATTTTTAGGGAAGGGTCTCCAGGGTTTTCAGTGTCTCACTACTAGATCAGACTCATGGTGACCCGCCTGTTTACAGCTTCCCAAGGGCTGTGATTACAGTCAAGCAACACTATGCCCAGTCTCAATTGCACGCTCAGTGTGCCCCGGGGGTGGGGCCGGCACAGCAGGCCTGGGGAAGGAACCCAAAGCCCCTGCACCTGCTTGCAGGTGCTTTAATCTGCTGAGCTATTTGGCCAGCCCTTCCCCATGTATCTACTTAGGCAAGCTCAATTAACGAATGTATTTTTGTAAACTACTTGAAGATCATAATATACAAAAATATTTTCATGAGTTCAACATTAATTTACAACACGCTTAACTACTGTAGCAGTCTTCCAATAAAAAAGTTTGGTTTAGAATAATACTGGATTATTATATAATAAAACTGTTAATAGATAAGATTCTAAATAGTAATTCTAGTCCAACTTGGCTAAAAATAATGATTCTATGATTAAATAATATTCAGCATGTGTACAATAAATTGAACACAGGATTTCCTTAACAGCATTAAAAATAATATCATTTAGGGTATATAATATTTGTATGAAATTACCTTTCCATTGTCCAGATGACAAAGGAAAGCTGTATGTTAACCAGTTTTATCTTACTACTCAAATCTCTAGTAAGTTCTCTTACATTAAGAGTACATGTGTTGGTTTCCAGATAATTTTAGCAATATCAATATACCTTAAAAGTGTGAATTTAAATATTGTGCTCTGCATAGCAAAATTACAATGAAGTATGAACACTGTTTCATACCAAAAGCACTTCCTTCTTCATTCACTAATACAGTAAAAATTATACAAGAAAAAGGAGAGAACAAGTAACCTGATTTTGAAGGCCACCATAATCTTACATAACATAAAGGATTTTCTACTAAATTCTCTAATACTCTAATAATAAAATCAGCATTCTAGGTCCCAGGGTAAAAGTAATATATAATGAAAATTTTAAAGAGAAAAATTTTACCCTAAAATTCAAACTGCTAACTGATTAACCTGAATATTATAATTCTGCAAATGATTAAGCAGGATCAAAAATATAACTTTTCACCATATTTTTTCTGGATTTTTGAATTTGTAACTAAATTGTAACATATTTCAGTTTCACCTGAGCTACCAATAAGGCAAGTGAAGATGGCCATCATGGAAATTAAAATTCTATTTCTTTTAAGCATATAGTCATTGATACTGTTTTCTAATTATTTTTGTTTCTTTTTACTTTTGAGAATTATTTGCATATATACTAAGTATTACAAAAAATAATGAAGATTCCCTTTGTGTTAAAATATTGGATAATAATCATGTACTTCAAAAAGTATTTTTTTTAATTAATTAATGATGGCTTCTAAAGAGGAATGGAGCTCTGTTTGTTTCTGTGTTGCTGAACTGTTTTCTTAGGTAATATGGAATTAATTACCAAACAATTATGCCAGAAAAGTTCTCCAAAGACACCTCTTCTATTTTCATTTTAATAACTAAGCCTTAATGCATGTCTGTAATCCCAGCATTTGGGGGGGGGGGCTGAGACAGGATGATCATTATGAGCACAAGCTCTGTAACAAGACTCTGTACCAAATACATAAATAAAAAATTAAAATAATTAAACTATATTGAATAAGGCCCTGGCAAGCACAAGGGCCTTAATTCAATATAGTTTCTACATTATACATAATTATGACTTTACTATAAGCCATTGAATAAGTATTTATGGTAAGAAAAACAAATTGCATTGAATTATATAAGGTAGTACAGTGTCAAAATCAAATATACTTATAATTTTTATTACAAATACAGCTTAAAATTCAACTACTGTAAGAATCATGAAGAAAATGTACACATATATAAACACATGAAATTATATTAAACATTTTCTTTATAAAAATATTTATCTTTCAAGGTTTTATTTGGCACTCCCACTACAATAGGAAGGAACCCATGGTAAAAAAGCCAAGGGGATGATCACTTGTTTTCACACATATGACTACCTTCAAAACTCTATATTTTAAAAACAGAATTTGATATTTCTTGTAAAGCTTAAAACCACTTCAAGGGGCCAGGGAAAGAGCTCAGTAGAATAAGCGCTTGCCTGGCAAGCACAAGGGCCTGAGTTCAACCCCCAGTTCTGAAAAAAATAAAAGAACTACTTCAAGAATTTTATTCTCGGGGGGCCTGCCACTTAGCTCAGTTCTTTAAGTGGCTGCTTCAACAAAGCAGTCAGGCTCAGGTTGCTGTGGTTCAATCCCCACAACTCAAGTCAGCCAATCCTGCCCTGAAGGCATTCGGAGAGGAAAAAAAAAAAACCCTAGGGGCTGGGGAGATGGCTCAGTGGAATAAGTGCTTCTCTGGCAAGCTAAGCTTGAGTTCAATCCCCGGTTCCGCAAAAAAAAAAAAAAGAATTTTATTCTCTCTCCCCAATATTCTCACTAGTAAATATTCACTAAATAATATTTGAATTTCACATTTAAAGTAAGCATACCCCAGGTGGGGAGATAGCTCGATAGTTTAAGTGCCTGCCTGGCAAGCGCAAGAACCCAGGTTCAATCCCCAGTACCACATGCTGTGCTGGCCCTGCACTGAAATCAGGCACTAAAACTGGGCATGGTGGTGCACGCCTGTAATTCCAGCATTGAGGAGGCTGAGACAGGAAGATCACTATAAGCCCAAACTTTGTAGCAAGACTCTGTACCAAAAACATAAATAAAAGATTAAAATACAGTACACCCAGAAAATAAATTTTTAATTAAAAAATTAAGTAATTTTCTGCCAAGTTTATTCAATGCAATCAAAAACTTTTAACTTTCAAAAAAAGTTCTAGATTTTAATATAAAGATATATAAAGAAATAGGATCTTGTAGGGCTAACTGTCCTCAAAGATGTTTCTCTCCCAGTCTAATCATATGTTAGGAAATCCACTACAGGGGAAGCTCCCCTCATATTCCTTGGGCAGGACTGCCTGCAGGAGGCCTTAAAATCAAAAAGTTTTATCTTGCTCAATGGGTCCCAGTTATCTGACACAACCTGCAGAAATTAGAAGAATTTGCAGGAATAAATTTGTCTCAGTTGAGGTGTCTCACACTAAAAAGGACACAGAATAAAATTATAGAAAAAAAATGAAAATAGTGATACTAGCAGCCTACAGGATTGAAAGCCAGTTGGGAAACAGGGAAAAAGTTATGCTTCCCTAGATCCAGACAGAGAGAAGAGACATTTCAAGCAAAAATGTCCAAAGCTGCTAAAAAGGGTGAAAAATGTTCATGATGGAGTCAGTGGAAGTTGCAGATTGAGGTGGTCTTGGGTCTTCCCCCTTTCAGCCTGAGGGAACTCATGGTAACTGCCAATATAAGGAGAAAGCCTATTAAACTTTCAATAGAAGCTCATGCAGATTTGTCGGTAGTGGGGCCCAGACAGTGGCCCCACTTGCCAACTGGAGAGTACTCAGTGTTTTCCCTAGGTCTGGCAATTCATGTGCCCCAGTAACAGTAGAGTTGGTGACACAAAAGGTCAGTTTATTTGAGATAATACCCAATGGCCATACAAGATTTTTAAAAAAGGGATTAAACCTCACATTTTAAGAGATCTCTGCTAATGGACCTACAAAAAGTTCTAACTAGTCTTTTTATAATTACAAACTTTAAAAGGTTATTACATTCCAGATCCTTCTACTAATGTCTCAATAGCTGTTCAAAATATTAGATAACAAATCAATGTTATGTAAAATGCTGAGGTCCCCTGGACCCTATTATCATTTTTATGGGAAGTCATTACTGTCTACTTAGTGAAAATCATTTTTTACTGTATTCATAATTATCCTGCTGATGTTATTATTTGGCCCATAATATGTTTAATTATTTCTTTGGCTTTGTCTTCTCCAGACCTAAAGCTATTCTGCCTACCTAAGATGAAAATTTCTGGTATCTATTGAGGACCTTTAGACAAAACCTCTGGAGAATATCTCTGACTGCCAGTCAACAACTACAACCCCTTTCAGCCTGAAGAAGCCAGAGCAGTCATTGCCCATGGTTCACTCACGCAGTTCAGGTTACTTCTTCAGAGGGGAAAATGTTGTAGGTAACTAAATTAGATAGAAATATTACAGGCAGTCAGACAAGGCCAAGCCCTCAAGGAGACAATACAGAAGACAAGGTGACTTTGTAACTTTAGAAAAAACAGACACTCTAGCTTTGGGCTACACCTCAAGACAAAAGTAAACAAATACAGCTACATACTTCCCTAGGGATAGGCATCAAGGATTGATATTCTAAATAGGTATTAATCATGTTGAAAGAGCCATAAAGAGTCACTAAAACCCAACCCCCAACAGAAAGAGACCCTGTCCTATATTTATGCCAGCTTGCTAGGTGACTCACTTCCTCATTTGGCACTGGTTTTAATCAATTTTACTTAAGCAATGGTGCTTGTAATCTCATTGGTTGGCCATAGTTTTGTCCCACTTCATGCCCACCTAAGTGAGTTCCCATATTCTCCACCACCTTTATACCCACACCTCACCACATGGTTTTACACTATAAAAGTCCTTGGAAGAGAGTTTCCCAGGGACAACCGGTTCCAACCCCAGCCTTCTGTCCTTCTCTCAGACAGGAGCTTTCTTTCCTCCAATAAATATATTCTGCTCTTTAAAAAAAAATAGCATCTACCTCAAATTCAAATGTATGTATATGCCAAAACCCTCAGTATACAGTAGTCGATGGTATGTTTAGAATTACTTTTAAAAGTTTACTCATGTCAGTTAACACTTAAAAAAAAAAAAATCCTAAAACAGGTCACAAAGTTATTCTGTAAGTATGTAAGAGGTATGTCCAGCTTTTTTGAACTATGACAAATCAAAATTCCATTCAACCCAAAAGAAGTAAGTAATAAAGAAAAGAAGGAGACAGCCGGGGGAGGGGGGGAGAGAATGAACCCTGACATATAATCTAAATCCTATAAACTGCTGCAATAAATGTACGTTATATGGAAGTTCTTTGCTCATTAATACATAACCTTTCCATTTCAGGATTCAGAAGAAACACTATTCTAGTATTTTTTTTTTTCCCTGAATAAAAAGCTCCTGTACATTATCATCTTATTATTAAGAAATACTTTTTGGGAAGAAGCAGAGAAACAAGTCAGCTGAATGCAGACTTTTTATTTGGCTAGGTAAATTTCAGGCTTTCTTGGGCTTACCCAGACATCAGCTTTGGTGGTGATGGGTTTCCCTCCATAAAGGTTGATCATTTCAGGAGCTCTGTATGACAGAGTTGTATACCTAGCAATAAATAAGGGAAATGGAAAGGAAATATTTAACAGTAACAAATAAAAAGTTTCTGTATGATACTAAAAAAAAATTTTATGTCCAATAACACTATTATAAAAACAATACTAGCCAGGTATGGTGGTGCACATCTGTAATCCCAGCACTCAGGAAGGAGGCTGAGGCAGAGGATAGTCATGAGTTTGAGGCCAGCCTGGGCCTCAAACACACCTTGAAGAAAATGCATTGGACAATGCACTAATTTTTCTTAAATTTATGTGAATTCAATTTGACCAAATCACCTTATTAAAATATTTTTAACCTATTACAAGTAAAATGGATACTGGGCATGGTAGCGCACACCTGTAAGCCCAGCTCTTGGGAGGCTGTAAACAGGCGGATCACTATGAGTCTGATTAAGTAGGAAACCCTGAACACCCTGCAGACCCTTCCCTAAAAAAAAAAAAAAAAAAAAGTAAAATGTCTATCTTCCCTAAAACTGTGTGCTTACAAAACCTTTCTCTTATAAATCCTAGTGTAATTCCTTACACGCTTATTTTAGGCCACTGATTTTTTTATAATTTTTTTTTAAAAAGTAATCTAATAATGTATAGTTATCATTCTAACTATATATTTCTTAAGTATGCCCTCTAATACTGACTGTTACTATAAGCTACTTCGAATTAAAGATACTGTCAACAGAAATTTACTAGTACAACACCCTCAAATTCATTATGAACAGAATATTTTAAAGAAGTAGGCTTCAGGCCAGGGAGATAACTCAGTGGTCTAAGAGCTGCCCAGCAAGCACAAGGACCTGGGTTCAATCCCTGGTACGGCACACCATGCTGGCCCCGCACACCATGCTGGCCCCACACCGTGCCAATTACTACAACCAGGCATGGTGGCACACTACTGCAATCCCAGAACTGGGAAGATTGAGACAGGAGGATCGCTACGAGTCTGAGCTGCACAGAGACCATGTACTAAATAAATCTTAAAAAAAAAAAAAGTATGCCTCCATCTCATGGCAGAAATTATCATAATATACATGGACATGACAAAGATTCATTTACACAGATTATTTTGTAATAAATAAAAAACCTGAAAACTCAATACACTACTATCTTTTTCCAAATTACACACTGGTGAGACAGTCTGAATGATCTGACTCACAGATGAATGACCTAAAACATCTCAATATAAACTTCGTAAGAGCAAGATTTTTGTTGTCTACTATATTACAAGCACCAAGAATAGTGTTGCCTGAAAATAAATGCTTGTTAATCAACTTAGCTGTTCAACTGAAGCTCAAAGGACAAGAACTCCAAATAAGCTCCTACTCATCATAAAATTTCAATCACCAACAAAATTCAACTCTATTTCAACTTGTCAAAGTACAACTGCAAGAAATAAAATGCCTAGCAAGATATATGCTTGCTGGTATTCCACAGCAGCCTCTAAAAATCTCAACCAAGAAAAACAATTTTTAATTACAGGAATATATACATATCCCCAAAAGTCAACTCAATATTTTACTATTCCTGTGTTCTTTTGGATATTTATATATTTACTAAAGTATCTGATTTGTAGAGTCCAACATAATCGTGACAGGCTAAGATTCATGAGTAGAAATATGTGATCTAGAAATTCACTACACTACACAAATAGGCAAAAGTAATAAATATTAGCACTACTTGAAATATCTAAAATACTGTAGTACAAATGAGTTTCTACAGCAGTAATGGCAAACCCTTTAGAGTTCAAAGATGCAAACAGCCTGCTATAGCACCCTTGCCATAGGTTCACCACTACTGTTCTAGATCATCTCAAAAATTTGTGAACAAGTGATTAAAGGCACTACAGAAAACAGAACTCATTAAAAATTCCTACAGTAACAGATCTTTTTGTCCTGTGACATTTTATTAAGATGATCTAAAACAAGTAGTTTCATTTTCTAAAACTAGAAAACAGAAGAGTTAAAAAAGGACCCTCACAGATATGCTAGAGAGAACAGAAAGCACAGGATTCAGAAAATTTCAGTCATACGTGACATATTCCACCAGAAAGCTTACCAACACGCCATTACAAAATAAAAGTGAATTGATAGTCTTAACATTTGGTTTTTCATATAGCTTTCAATGAATATAAGTCAGTCTTTAATATTAAATAAGAAATGCTTACATGAATTCAAGTTCCTTATTTTTTTCTTAAAAAGTACATATGGATTAGCATTAGTAAAAACAAATGTTTACTGCTCAATTATCACTTAAAATTCTCTGTATGTGATTCAATTAATAACTACAGCTTATTTTATAGGGTTGGTTTTTTTTTTTTTCAAATCTCTTAACAAGGTAAGGTATATGGAAATTATATTATAAAATACATTTCCTACTGTTTATTCAGACATAAATTAATCATCAATCATGGCACAAAAACTTTCTAAAGAAATCTATAAATGGAGTACCTACAATTTGGGCTGTACTAACATAGCTGTCACAAACTCAATCAAAATTCCCATGAAATAAGATGTAATAAAGATACTTACTTTTTAATTTCTTCTTCTACCACATTAACTCCATCTTTTTGAGGATTAAGAAATTTATTAGTGGCACTGCCAAAGTCACAAAGTACATAATTTCCACTGTCATTTAACAAAATATTTTCCACCTTAACAAAAGAAAATCAACAGTTAAAATTTTCATGGTAAAAAATTATCTTTTTCAACCAATTTACATTGGAGAGTCTACACACACACACACAAACACACACACACAAACACACACACACACGGTATCTCACTAAGAACAAACTGAAGCAAAATAAACTTTACTGTGTCTACTGCATCTGAGATGAGAAGACAGTTGTTTCTCCCACTGTAGCAGATGTCCTCCACAGTATACTTCTGTTTGTTAGTTGCCTGGGCAACAGTTCTGGTTATAATTTCTGTTACTTTTGTTTCTTAGAAATAGCTGGTCAGTGTGATGCATACTGTAAGAACCAGTCCCCAACTGACAGGTCATTCTGCCTCTGTACTTCCTGTTCTGTTATCCCATACAAACCCTAGACTAACGTCAGGGACTGACAGCGTGGGAATGACCCTCATCAGTGCCTGTCCATGTAAAATAAATCTGCCTCCAAATCTGATGTGTTGTTTCAGTGTTTCTGCTTGCAGTTACACCACCGCAGAACAATTTGTGAAGATATCAAGAAACCATGAATCTTCTCTAAAGCTACCTTTATGTAACAGAACTAGTAACAGACAGAATTAAGCTTCTTTTTCCAAATCTCAACTTTCTTTTCCCATACTTCAGCTTACCTATAGACGAACAAGTAGTTTAAAAGAAAAAATCTATCTCTGATTAATTCCTACAGGTTAGTATACCTTATCCAACATGCCGAGGCCAGAGGTGTCTCAGCTCTGGGATTTCTTTTTTAGAATATCTACATATAAATGCATAATGAGACATCTTACAGAAGAACTCATGTACAAGAACAAACTTCATTCATGTTTCATATATGCCTTATACATGTAGTCAAATGCATTCTATTCATTAATTTCAGCACACCTACACTTTGACTGTAATCCATCCCATATGGCCAAATGTAGAATTTTTCACTTGTGGCATCATGTAAGCACTAAAAAAAATATAATGTATTTCTAATTTTGGATTGTTTGATTACAATTTCAGTTCACAGAATCATTTTTATTTAAAACACTACACTAGCCCACAACTCAGGAGGCTGTGGCAGAAAGATTACAGTGAGTTTAGAGGCCAGCCCAGGCTATTAAATAAATTCAAGGCTACCACATATTGTATAGTAAAACCCTGTCTCAAAAAGGGGGGGGGGGCTGGTGAGATGGCTCAGTGGTCTAAAGCACCTACTTGGAACAAGCTTAGCAAAGCAAAGGGACCGCGGTTCAATCCCCCAGCACCACATGCCAGCCAGGGCCGCCCCCTGGTGGGCTGAGCTGGCCACACACACACACACACACACACACACACACTAAATAAATAAATAAATAAATAAAATTTTAAAAAAATTTAAAAAAAAAGGGGGGGGGAACTACACTGAAATAGAAAACTTTAATTTCATGCCTTACAAGTTCAGAATTACAGTAACTGAAATGCACAAATTATGGTGACAGTTTTTTGAACTCTAGAATGTGATTAAGTATCCCAGTTTTCTATTTACTAACATGTATAATGATGGATAATTTAACTACTCTAGTAATTCAGCAGTTTTCTTATCAATCAAATGGGGAAGATAGTACCTACTCTACAGGACTCTTATGAAAATTAGATGAGTTAAAACATGTAATTGCTTGGAACAGTGTCTGGAACACAATAAACACCCAATAAAAGATTTTTCAAATTATCTTATTTTTACAAAAGTTTGGATAAGTAATTCACTTTTTATTCTGTTAAAGTAATCATATTAAATTTTTTTTATAATTTTCCTTATATATTAGTTTATACTTTTCCTTCTATATTTCATTTTAGTCAAGTTTTTAAGAATCATACAAGAAATCTATTAAATAGATTTAATCTACTTAAGACAAATGTATATTTGCATAAATTAACACATGTAAAAAGAATGAAGCATATAAAATACAAATAGAGAAAACTGCATTTTAATGTCTTTTCTGAATTTTAAATCAAGGAGATAGCTTAAAATATCAATTCTTTATGCAAAAAGTTAATGAGCTATAAAAGCAGCATAGGAAAATCACAGAAAATTATCAGAGGAAATATAAAACTTGCATTATCAAAAAAATTGAGATGAGCTGTACTATTTACCCAAGTTAGAGGACAGAAGTCTGAAGTCATGCATTTAAATACTGCCTTGACTTACTATTACCATAGGTTTCTCCTTGGAGAATGTTTTCATGAGTAACAAGCCACATATTAAAAGATATCTTCTCTTTTAAGAGCATTTTATAATTACCTTTCTTAAGCTTTTGTATAATCAGTACAATTCATTCATTCATTAGGTAGTTAATGAGACACGGCTATATACTTGGCAATGTTTTAACTGCTTGGATCCAGCACTGAACAAGGAAAAAAATAAAATCCTTCCCTCATGGAATTTATATTCTAATAAAGAGGGTCTAACAATAAACAGCAAGCATAATATATATACATATTACACAATATCTTTGTCTTTTTTATCTTTTATTCACTTATTTATTTGGTACACAGTCTCACTACACAGTTCAGCCTCATAGTGATCCTCTTGTCTCAGGCTCCCCAGTTCCGGGATTACAGGTATGTGCCACCATACCTGGTTTTATACAGCATCTTTGATAATTGCCAATAAAAGAAAAACAGATATGCAACAGGAATGTTAGGTTTGAATTATAAATAATATGGGCCCAAGGAGTAAATACACTAAGAAGGTGAATCTGAACAGACTTGAATGAGAGAGGTGAATAACCACGGCAATGTTTTGCATAAAGCATTTATTTATTTATTTATTTATTTATCTGTATTTTAGGGAAAAGTCTATAGGGTATTCAGGGTATCACTATTAGATTGGACTCATAAAGATCCACCTGTTTACAGCCTCACAAGAGCTGGGATTACAGGCATGAGCCACCACGCCAGTTTCAATTGCAGTCTCAGTGAGCCCAAGAGGTAGGACCAGTACAGCGGGTGGGAGATTGAACTCCCAGCCCCTATGCCTGCTTGCAGGTGCTTTAATCCACTGAGCTATCTGGCCAGCCCTGCATAAAGCATTTTAGAAGCCAAATGTGGTAGCACACTCCTGTTATCTTAGAATTGAGAAAGCTGAAACAGGGAAGATGAGTTTGACACCAGCTATGAGTTTGGCACCAGCCTAAGATACACAGTGACTTCAAGACCAATGTGAACTACATAATGAGAATCTATCTTTAAAAAACAAAACAAACAAAGCTTTTTAGGAAGAGCACTTTGCTTTTTTTTTTTTTTTTTTTTTTTTGCCACTGTTTTTCCTCTCTTCTGAAATGCTAGGGATCAAACCCGCAGCCCCATACATGTTACGTAAGTGTGTTATCAGTGAGCCAAACCTCCGATCCAGGAAGGGTGATTGTTTTCCCCATATTTTTGTGTTTGTGAACATCAAAGAATTTTTTTTTTTTTTTGGAGGCAGGGTCTCATTGTGTATGCAGTTCAGACTGGCCTTGAAGGCCTTGAACTCACTTATGTAATCCAGGCTGGCAGCAAACTCAGAGATCCTCCTGCCTTGGTCTCCCAATTACAGGCGTGTGTTACCATGCCTGGCATAAAACATATTACTAAAAGATAGCTTTAGCAATGATATGAAGAAATTCAATTTGCTTTGGGATTTTCTCCACTGCAGTAACTGGCACCAAATATAAATGTTAAGAGCCCACAAGAAGATAAAATGAGGAGGCTTGAGGGTTAGCTCAGCTGTCTAAAGTGCCTGCTTGGGCAGTCAGGCGCAGGGGGTGACAGTTCGATCCCCAGTACCACATGCTGCACCAGACCTGCCCTTAAGGCAACCTGAGGCAGCCAAATAAAAAAAGATTAAATGAAATGACTACAAGATAACTGAAATCAAATTACAGTAAGTCACACAAAACTATAGTAAATTATAAATAAATGAGAAAAGAGACTCTTCACAGTTTCTTCCCATGCCTCTTGAGAACACCCTAATTGCTTAACAAAGATTGTAATAGGAAGAATGCTACACTCAACATGTTTCACTGACACTCATTTCTGTTCAAATAAAACCTGTTAAAGAAGCTTATTAAGCAAAACAGAGACAGCCAGTTATACTACCAAATCCACCTCTATACCATGATAAAAACCCTAAGGGTCAAACACAATTTCAAATCTAGAGCTGGAACTGAATAGGAAATACAGGATTCACAGAAAAAAACAATCTCAGTGCTAGTAATAATACCTACTTTAGAGCTAAGGATGGATCTCTGGAATAGAGTATTTGGGTAGCATACACAGGGGTCTGGATTTAATCTCTAGTACCAAAGGGGAAAACCTATTTTAGCTGATGGCAGTCCAAGAAAATTTTAATTCCAAAGTCCTAAGCAGGGTGCTCTTTCATTTTAAGTTCAAAGTCCACAAAAGTTCACTCTATTTATAAGTATTCTAAAGTTCTTACCTTCAGATCTCGGTGAATGATTGGGGTTTTACACTGATGCAATCTTGCAACAGCTTCACAGGTATCACAGAATATCTGTAGCACTTCTGGTTCTGTAAAACCTGTCTGCAGCTTCTTATTCATCTGATTCACTACTTGCCCAGCTAAACAAAGAAGTATTTTTAAGATATATATTTTAATAAATTAAGTCTCTTACAAAGAAAAAACATTTAAAAACACCTTTAGGGCCTCCGGTAATGAGAAATTGGCTTTTTCATAGTTCTATGTAAAGAGGCTTGACAGTGATTCAAGATACACATTTTATATCAGGCTGATAGTGAACTCACTATGTAGCTCAGGGTCAAAGTCCCAGTGGTCCTCCTGCCTCAGCCTCCAGAGTACTAGAATTACAGATGTACACCACCACAACCACCCCAATATTGGAAAACATTTTAAAGTATCTGAAATTTTATATTTTCTTAAAATTCACAGCCTTAGATAGGAAACAACAGTTACTCAACACTGTGCTACTTCTTGTACAAATAGTGGTGACCCAAGTAAGTTTCTATTTTTATGATTATTTTATAGTTGAAACATGAAGACAATCACACAAGTACATAATCATAATGATATATAAATAAGAGATTTTAGTACAGAAAATCTGAATTACATTGGTAAAGAAAGGGGTTGGGGAGATGGCTCAGTAGAATAAGCGCTTCCCTGATAAGCGCAAGGGCCTGAGTTCAATCCCTGGTTCCACAATAAATACATATATACATACATACATACATACATACATACATACATAAAATTGGTAAAGAAGTATGGAGAGGAAAAGGTGGCAGATCAGACTCAACTTTGCGAGTATTATTTATACTGAAACTGAAGAATAATAAGGAATTAATGAGGCAGAACTCTGGAAGTATGCTATACTAGTGATTGTAGTATATACCCCATAAACACCTCTGTTTTGAGAAAGTTTAATAGCGATGGATAACTTCTTAAATGCTGATATGATCTAAAAAGCAGAGAAGAGGAGATGAGATGAAGCTCACAAAGTAGACAGGGATTAGCCATGTTTTGTATTTTATTTTGAGAAAACAGCCAAAGGAAATTTCTGATCTGATTTTCTAAAAGATATTCTTGATTATGGGATAGGGTAATCGAAGAGTGAAAGTTAAGAGAAGTGATAAAATACTAATGCTATGATCCATGTAGGAAGTAACAATGCTTTTGCATGCCTGTAACCCTAGCTCTTCCTCCTGTCTCTGAGGCTGACACAGGAGGATCACTGTGAGTTCATAGCCAACCTGAACTACAAAGTGAAAATTTATCTCAAAGAAACACAAAACAAAACAAAAAAGAAAAGAAAAAAGAGGCCAGAGGAATTTACTAGACTCACATACCCCTATATCTATGCCATTGACCCTGAGATTATTTATATTAACTTGAAACTTTAATAGGGTTGGATAAATGTATATGTGCTACTTTATTATCATTAAAAAAATACATACATACTTGTTCCTTTTATTATTATCTAAAGAGTCTCTTTTCTGAAACGTTTTTTTCCTTAGAATTTTAAAGCAAAAAGAATACTACATTTAATCTATGAATCCCTAACTTTCAGAAAACTTAGGGATCACTTGCTGAAGTGAACTCAAAAGGTTGAGATGCAACTAACCAGGCAGCAAGCAATATCCTATGTTTCCTCGTCTGGTACATTTCAAGTCATGAAGTATCAGAGACATAAGGTACAGACATTTCACAAAAGATGATCACAAACACTGGATTTTTGAAACCATGACAGGGTATACTGGCTATATACTACATTCTCCTATTTTTATACAGTTTTATCCCTACATAATCAAAACCAATGTAGAGGGGCCAGGGAGATAGCTCAGTAGAATAAGTGCTTGCCTGACAAGCGCAGGGTCCTGAGTTCAATCCCTGGTACCGAAAAAAAAAAAAAAAACAATGTACACACACATGCACACAAACACCAATGCATGCAAGCATACACCCACACACGCATGCACATACACACTCACACACACTCACTCTCTCTATACATATACATTTATATTTATATAAATACAGATATAAGAACTGTATATATGTATTAGCTCCCTTACAAAAGTAAATCATCCTTAAACAATTTTAAAGTATGAGGAGAGCCTTTCTCCCAGTCTCTGACACTAAAAATCCATCCTTCCTCCAGAGGGAAAATGAAACTCACCTTATTGATTTATCTGAGAAAAGGAACTGAGCACACTCCAGAGTTTAAGCTTTCTGGATTCCTTTCCTTAAGATATAACTGCCCACTCACAGGATATATTCTGATACATACAGTAAACTTAGCTGGCTGAAAAAAACTTAGCATAACAGAGAAAGCATAAGAAAAACAGGAAAAAGAAAAAAAACGTAAGAACTAAAATGCATATCCAAAGACAACAAAACATTTGTATCTAAAACAAGACCAAGGTGCAGTTTAACAAAAAACACTGAAAGAGCAAAAAAATTGTTAGAAATTAAAGATAGCAGAAATACAAAATTGTATAGAAGAGCTGAAAGGGATGCTCCCAATGAAAGAAGAATTCTTGAAAAGAAAATGAGAGGATTGATCAAGCTAAACCGTAAAAAATCCAGAAAGACAACATAGAAAAATGGAAGCGGAAGAAAACTAATATGCAAAAATGCAAAAGACACATCCATTAGTGTCAGTATCCTGGAAACAAAGGACAGATTGTACTGAAAGTGAAAAAGGTCACACTAAAACAATATTTAGTAACCACAACAGCATCATACTTCTTAATATATTATGTAACATTAGCGGAAAAAATGGAATAATATCTTTAAAATTCTGCAAGTTTATCTATGATAAAGGCTTTCAGCCAGCCAAATTAACAATCAAATCTATGTGGAAAATAAAGATTTTCTAGGTTTTAAAAATATTTCCTCCCATAAACTACTGAGAAGTGTACTATACCAAAACAGTAAAAACAACAGGAGGGTTAATTAAGTTAGAAGGAAGACAACAAAAATTCCCACAGACAGCTAATTACTATATATAATTAGGCATATAAACTGAAGTCTTCCCAAAAGATGTCAGAAAACAAAAAATATTTCTTACCTTTGTTGGTGTTAGTGTCATTTATTATTTTTCTCTGTTTTGTTTATCTTTTTGGTGCTTCTGTTTGGGAGCTTTTGTTTGTTTTGTTTTGTTTTTATTTTTCTTTTTCTTTATAAAGACAAAGTCTCTCTGTTTAGTCCACACCAGATGTGAACTTAACTATGTACCCCAAGTTAGCCTCAAACTTCCTGACTCAGCCTCCTACGTGCTATCACAGGCATATGCCTCCTCACCCAGCTCTTCTCTTTACAATCACATTACGTTGCTACGATTTCAAAATTTCTTCTTATAATTAAAAGTTTTCTGTAAGCCTCATGATTTTAAAAATTTATAAGCCCTAAATCTAAGATTCAAATTCAAATCAGAGATGCAAAAAGGCATCTGTAACTGACATCACAGAAATACAAAGAATCATTAAAGAATTGTGATTAACTATACACTGATAAATTTTATAATTTAAGAGAAATGGACAATTCCCTGTATGTATACTTTACCAAAACTGAATCATGAAGAAATGGAAATCTCAAACTTATTAATAACCAATGAGAATTAATAAACAGTGAGAATCCGTAATAAGTGCTGCATCAAAGAAAAACCCAGAACCAGGCAGCTTTACTACTGAGCTCTACTAAAAAACTGACAATGAGTCTTTTAAAACTGTTTCCAAAAAACTGAAAAGGGAGAAATCCTGTCAGACACATTCCTCAAGCACAGCATTACTCTTACACCAAAACCAAACATGGACACAACAAATAAGAAACCACTGTCTTTGACAACAATGGACGCAAAAAAAGTGCTCCACAAATTATTAGTGAACCAAATTCAAGAGCCCCTTTTAAAAAAAAAAAAATTATTCAACATGACCCAGGGGGATTCATCTCAAGAATGTACAATGGTTCAATATATTCAAATCAATATGAATAATACATATACCACATCAACAGAGTAAAGGACAAAAAGGAGTCGTCCCGAAAGGGAAAAAAAAGATAGTGGGTAAAATACAATGTCCCTTCATAAAAAAATATTAAACAAATTATATACAGAAAGAATATATCTCAAAATAGTATAGGCCACTTATATAATAAGCCAACAGCTAACATTATAATAAACTAAACATGGAAAAGCTCAAAGGTTTCCAAGATCTGGAAATGACAAAATGTCCACTTTTATCACATTTATTCAACAGAGTACTAAAAGTCTTAGCCATAGCAATCAGGCAAGAGAAAAAAAATGGGAATACAAACTGGAAAAGAACAAATCAAACTATCACTGTCTGTATATGAAATGATCTTACAGAAAACTCCTAAAATTCCAACAAAAAACTACCATAATATATGAATCCAGAAAGGTTGCAGGAAAAGAAAATCAACATATGTAAGTCAGTAGTATTGCTATACACCAAGTAAATGCTCTCTGAGTGAAATCGAGGAAGCAATCCTATTTACAAGAGCTACAGAAAATGGTAATAAAACACCTAGGAATAAATTTAATCAAAGAGGGAAAAGGACCTCTATGATAAAAGCTATAAAACATTAATGAAAGAAATTAGAGGATATAAAAATGTAAAAATATCCAGTCTTTCTACAACAAAAAGATCAATACTGTTAAAACAGTCTTAGTATCCAAAGCAATCTATGGATGTGATTCAATCCTTATCAAAATATCAATGTTACACTTAAAAGAACTATGAAAAAAACCTACAATTTTTATGGAACAATAACAAAAGCTAAACACCCAAAGCAATCTTGAATAAACAGAATGAAGCAGAAGGTTATAGAATCTAACTTCAAAATATACTTTAAGGCTATAGAAAAAAACAGCATGGTACATTATCATTAAAAATACACATAGAAACCAATCAAACAGGACAGCCTCAACATGAATTCACCCTCTCCAGCCAGCTGAATTTTTATAAAGATACAAAGAATATACGAAGGAGAAAGTAAAGACTTCTGAGCTAGGCATGATGGTGAACACCTATAATCCCAAAACTCACAAGGATGAGGCAGCAAGATTGCCATAAATTCAAGGACACTGGATACTACACAGTAAGTTCAAGCCCAAATTTAATTACCTAGTGAAACACTGTCTCAAAACAGACAACAAAGCAAAAAACAAAACAAAACAAAACAAAAATTCAAAATAGAACTGGAAAGAACTGGGTATCCATAGATAGAATGAAACTCAACCTCTCTCACTACTTACAAAACTTAGTTCAAAATGGATTAAAAACTTAAATGTAAAATCTGAAAAAATGCTTGAATTCAAGCACCTACAATATTTAAATGACAATGGAATGCCCTTCTCTGACAAAACTAACCAAAAAAGTGGGACAGAAATTAGCAACGCTTTTGCATCTGTACATTCAAAATAGGATAGATATACAGCTCCATTCTCTTAATTCAATGAATAGAGAGATTTGTTATAATAGTGTTTGAGACAGGATATCATGTCTGCATCTTGTACATAACCACTAAGACAACAATATGCAATGTATTAATTATTGAAAATGTGCCGGTAATCGGTTGTGAAACTGTCTCATTGATATTTGTTTCTCAATAAAAGTATTTTTAAAAAACCTGAAAAAAATGAAAGTTCTATGGAATAGGTGAGCATTTTTTTGGACGAGACCTCAAAAGCATGAGAAAAAAGACCAAACAGACAAGTAATATCAACTCAAAATAAAAACACTTCTCAACAATAAAGGAAAAAATCAACAGACTGAAGGGACATACAGGATAGGAGATAGTATCTATAAACCATATGTGTGACAAGTTAATACATAAAGAACTCTAAAAAATACTGAACGAAGAGGCCAGATGTGGTGCATGCCTGTAATCTCAGCAATCAGGAGGCTGAGGCAGGAAGATCACTAGGAGTTCCAGACTAGCCTGAGCTAACTAGTAAGTTTAAGATCAGCCTGAATTACAGAGTAAGACTGTCTCAAAACGAAGGGGGAAAAAAGATGAATGAATAAAGAAAATGTGGTACATGTACACAATGGAATACTATTCAGCCATATAAAAAGAACGGAATCCCATCATTTGTCAAACATAGAGGGAACTGGAAATCATTATGCTAAGTGAAATAAACTGGCTACAGAAAGAGTACCAGATTATCTCACTCATGTGAAGTCTGAAAAAGCTCATCTCATGGAATTTGGAGCAGAATTGTGGTTCATTAGAGGCTGAAAACAAATATAGAGAAAGGAAGGTAAAATGATTAATACATACTAAGCTGAACTGAGAGAGAAGGTAGTTACTTCATAGAGTAACTACCGATGGCACCCCCTATACACACTATATATTTCAAAAAAATAGAATAAGGATTTGGATGCTTTCACCATAAAGTAATAAATACATGAAAAGACAGATATATGTAACAGGATTACACAACGCATATAAAATGTCACAAAGAACCCAACTAATATACATAGAATACTTACACATATATCACAATAAACCTTGTAAGACTGACTTCCTTTTTCTTCATCCTTTCTTAATAAGAGTAGTATCAATGACATAATAGTTTCTCTACTATTACCACCACTGTCCTATCTTCCTCCAACCTTAGGAAAACTACAAGAATTCCTGGAACTATAACTAATGATCATGAATGATTTATGACAATCTAAATATAAACCAGAGCTCCCTAAAATCCAACTTAACCAAATGCAGCCTGATTTTTTTTAAAAATTAAGTCTGTAGAAAACTGATTGTCTCCTTCCGCCACATTAACCTTTTTGTCAGGGATGATTTTTATAATGTATTGGTATGCCATACAAGTAAACAGTTCTTTCAAATATTACATTAGATCCAAATCATATGTGATCTTTGCCTCTTCTGATATTTGTAGATCAAAATGTAACCTCTGAATTTACAAAATTGAATACACTTACAATAACATGATAGGTACACTGCCTGAAAAACTCTACAACACTAATACTGACATATCAGGCTCTTGGTGAGATTACTCAAGAACCGTACACAGCACAGGAATCTGGTTCAGTGGCACAGTACTTGTATACTACTCATAAGGCTGTGTTTGACACACAGCACCACAAAAACAAAATCAAAAGATAATAATTATAGGGCATGCCAAATAGCTCAGTGGATTAAAGTGCCTGCTTAGGCAGACGCAGCAGCTGGTGTTCCATCCCTGGAGTGCCATGCTGCCCCCCACCCCAGGGTGTGAACCTGGGCATGGTGGCGCGTGCCTGTAATCCCAACTCTTGGGAGGCTAAACACAGGCAGATCAGTATGAGTCCGATCTACGTAATGAGACCTTGCAGACCATGTGCTAAAATACAAATACAAATAATAATAATAATAATAATAATAATAATAATAATAGAGAAAGCAAGAAATGTAACTTATCTACTTAGATTTTATTTTCAATCTAACAGTTCTGTTAATTATCCATTTACAGGTTCTTATCATTATAACCACTATGTCTAGGTTTTAAATAATTTTTAAACAGTATTCTTAATAAAATAACTAAACCTAAAATTGTAATAACTGTCCCAAATAAGGTTAACAGCTGCCCTAGGAGAAACTAAGACACCTAATCACCTGCTTTAAGAGAAAGGTTTTTAGTATAATACAATTACAGATACTTACCTCGACAATATTCCATTAAAATAAGCACTTCCCATACATTATCACTAATTGAATTAACAGCACAGTCTAAATAACCCACGATGTTTTTGTGACCAGACAGCTCTTTCTGTAAAAAGAAACAAAACATTTTAAACAGTAAAATATGTAATGTAAACCTGTATCACTAGCAATGGCTTAAAACCTTAATTAATTTCTAAGAATTTGAGTATGAAATCTGATATAGTTCAACCAGTCAAAGGCTTCAATGCTTTCAATGCAAAATTTAACTACATATGAATGTCATTTTCTTATTTCTTAATATTTATGTAAGTTTTCTAATTAAAAATGTTTTCAAATTCATATTTAAAATGGAAAAGTGGTCCAATAAATAAATAAAATGGTCCACTCAAGTCTCCCAAAGCAAAAGTAGTTAAATGATTCTCTGAGATGCAAAACTATACTATAATTTATTTATATCTTTGGGTTTTGTTTTTTTTTTAACTTTGTCTTGTTTTTTTTGACACAGGATCTCGCTATGTAGTTTAGGTTGGCCTTGAAATCATGTAGCTCAAGCTGGCCTCAAACTCATGGCAATCCTCTTATCTCCCTAGTGCTGTACCTTATCAGGAATTAAGTAGTAATGAAGTAACAAGTCTACTAGTACTGTTTTTCCTGTAATACACTGCAATTTATATGTAGCTATTAATGAATATATGGATACATGTACTTTTTACCTAAAAATCAACTAAACTGGTAAAAGAAAACCACATATAATACCAATAATATGAACGCAAGGAAATAACATAGCAAATTGAACAATTTGTTTCTAGTACAAGATAATCATCAGCAAATTCAATACTCGCACAAGATATGAGGTTACAAACAGGGCTAGGCTGGACTCAATGAAGCACACCTGCAACCCCAGTTACCTCAGGATGCTGAGACAAGATGATCACAAGTTTGAGGACAGCTTAGACAACTTAGAAAAACATTATCTCACAATAAAAAATAAAAGGACTTGGAATGTAACTCAGTTGTAGAATGCTTGCCTAGTATTCTCACGATCAGACTAGATACACATGGAAACTGAATACTATGTTTAATGAGTTTACCATTATCATGAATAAATATAACTGTGCTATCCAATTTGAAATAAGGAGTAATGATCACTGACCATGTAAAAAGTTTATAAATAAGTTAAACATAGTGGCATGTGGGTCATCAAAAATAGCTGGAAGATCACCACTCTAAAGGGCTTGTTATGGTTTGTGTCTAGTTGTCCCCCCAAAGCCTCATGCAGTCATGGGGCAGACTTCTAGTGTTTGTGATTAACTCATAATCCAAGGCTTGGATTATGGGTGTGAGTACCAGTGAGATTATAGGTGTGAGTACTATGCCCCACCTGAGGCAGATAAGGAAGGGAAAGACTTCTTCTCTGTAGCCATTGTTGCTGTTACTCCTCCCTTTTGCTGTTTGTCACCACCATGAAAGGTTTCTCTCTGCCATATTCTATCTGCCTTGGAGCCAGTTGAGTATGGACAGAAACCTTCAGTAACTGTGAACTAAATTAACCTTTCTTTCCTTCATTTTGGGTATTGGGTATTTGTCTCAGCAATGAGAGAAAAGTAACTGAGACAGAGCTAATGTCCTAAAATATCAGTGTTCAGAAGTATAAGATTTTGGGGGCCGGGGAGATGGCTCAGTGGAATAAGTGCTTTCCTGGCAAGCGCAATGGTCTGAGTTCAATCCCTGGTTCCCCCCCCCAAAAAAAGTATAAAATTTGGGTGCCACTGCTACTGTATTTTACATACCTCAAAATTACACAAATTCTATTGAAAGGAAGAATTATGACATAATATACAGTATCTGAGATCCAGTTAGACAATATAGATCTAAGCTTCACCATTATGGTGGGGGAAATCTTTCTCATCTTTTTGGTTAATATATCTTTAAAAGGCCTAAAAGCCTAATCACCTCTAACCTAATAACAAGGACAATAAAAGCCAATTTTAGAAAAGTCAGATTGTTTAAAAGTACTTATCTTCAAACAAAATGTATGTTACTAAAGAAACATACAAATAAAAAATTGCCATTAGCAGTTAGATAAGTAGGTCTGACATTAACAGAAAGTACTGGCAAACATCAAAAAAAAAAAAAAAATTACTGACAAGAAAATAAAATGCTCCACTTACTGTGAAAAAGTTTGCTAGTTCCTCAAAAATAAACACAGAATTACCATATGATCTAGGAAGTACATTCCTAAATATATATCCAAAGAACTAAACTAGGTACTCAAACAAATGCAGATAAACACATTCATAATAGTATTCACAACTCTCAAAACAGAAATAACTCCAATGTCCATTAAGTAGCTAACAAATTAGAATAAATACCTCATTATAAATGCCTCATTATAAATTGGCTGTACTTCATCTTAAGTATGACTATAAGAAATGTATTTGGCTGTTTAAAGCCAAAGCTCTTAATTTTCATTTCATGGACACTGTTGGGCAATGTACAGTGTACAGTGTGCATACCTGTTTGCTCTAGAGCACTGCTTCCAGATTTAAAAGATGCTGTGAATTATCATCATATTTGCTATTTCCTGAAACAGTGTGGCACTAAAGAATTTCCAGACAAAAATTTTCCAACTTAATGAACTTCAAAGGTTTTCTAAATATGTATAAGCTCAATTTGTCTAAAAATATTACTCTTTACTTACCATAATTGTAATTTCCCTTTTACAAATGTTGAGGTCTGACATGTTATTTACATACATTCGCTTCAATGCACATCGGATTCCACCATGAGTCCGCACTAGGAAAACTGTGGAGAATCCACCTAGAACAAACACAGATTAATTTTTAAAAGTCAAACTATTTTCAAAATCAAGTAATATTTTGGAACTTACTATCAGAGAAAAATAAACAGGACTGTACTCAGAAAAAAAAGTACAGAAAGCAACTAATCAATTGAAAGCCAAACACTGGCTTCCTGTTTCAATCATAAAGCAGCAATTACAGGATACTTCTCAAATGAGCATGCCTTCTAGTACAAGCCAACACACTAAAATCTCGTTTTTGTGCAGGAATCATTTGTTGCTATAAAATATACACCAAAAAAATCACTACATTGCCTACCCTTCCTACTGTCCATTTTGTGATAACAAAACAATTTATTTAATATGAGACCTGATAGCTGGATCTCTCCCACAGATCCAGGAGATCAATCAACATTGTTTTTTTTTGTTTTGTTTGGGTTTTTTTGTTGTTTGTTTTTTTAGGAACCAGAGATTGAACTCAGGCCCTTGTACTAGCCAGGGAAGCGCTTATTCCACTGAGCCATCTCCCCGTCTCCTCAACGTTGCTTTGAGCCAATCTTGGGAATCTTATTTCCCCTTATCGTTAACTGATTTACTACTAACTACATAACCAGTTCTGACTAATGTGACCTAAGATGAAGTCTACTGGGAATGCTGGTAAAGATTATTCCACCCAGATAAAAGGATGTAATAACTAAGACCTGCTCTTCCTTTCTGCTTCTGGACTTTATTGTATAACAATTTATGGTGCTTAGACATGCTGCAGCCAACCTATGGATATACTGAGCAACCTAGAACACTGACAGTTGAACTAATGAACAAATAACCTTCTTCCAGAATTCATGTTAAATGCAAATGAGCCCATTAATTGGTCATTCTATGAACTTCACCTGAGAAAGCATCTTACCTAAAATATCACAGCTAGGTAAGTATTGAAGAGAACAATTTTTTGTTACATCTACAAACACAGATTTTAGGACAGGGAGATGGCTTAGTAGAATAAGTGCTTGCCTGGTAAGCATAAGGGAATGAGTTCAATCCCTGGTTCCACAAAAAAATAAATAAATAAATAAAAACACAGATTTCTATCTAAGTTTTCAAAATTCAACTTGGAATAGAATCTATTATAGCTTTCCCCCCCACCCCACCCCCAGACAAGGGCTTGACACGTACTTCAAGCTGGGTTTGAATTCACAATGTGGCACAGGCTGGCCTCAAACTTGCAGTGAACCTCCTACCTCAGCCTCTTCAGTGCTGGGAATACAGGCATACACCACCACATCCAGCCAATGGTGGATAACTTTAATTAATTTATAGTCTTCATAAGGCAGCATTCTGAGCATTAAATCACCTGAACTCTAGTTCAGTACAAAGCAAAAGAAAACTAAACTACTACGGATTTTAAAAAAGAAAAAAACAGCTCCTAGGATTCTCCACATCACAACATATTCACTCCAGATTTTCCATGTCCTAAAATTTCAGCCAAAAGAAAATATAAATTCCTACCTGTAGCATGACAAAAGAAAAAAATTCCTATCTGTTACAGTGAAAAAGACTATTTCAAAATCATTGGTTTTTTTTCAATAATTTTACTGAGAAACAAATAGCAATGAGACAGTTTCAAAAATACATTGCATATTGTTGTCTTTGTGGTTATTCATTGTACAGATGCAGATATGATATCCTGTTTACAAGCCCTATTAGAACAAATATTTCTATTCATTAAATTAAGAGACTGTAGCTGTATATCTATCCTAATCATTTTGACAATACAAATACAAAAGGGTCGTTCATTTGTATCCCCTTCTTTTTAGTTTTGTCAGAGAAAGGTATTCCACTGCCATTTAAATATTATAGGTGCATGAATTCAGCAAAATATTCCAATATAGTCCAGTAGTCCATAATAGTAGTGGGTTTTCCATACAATTGGCACTATCAGAAGTTGCTGACGAGCCTTTTACAGCTCAGCATATTAATATAAGAAGTGAGCATTAAGTGACTTAATGCTCAGGATGCTGCCTTCATTTTTATACTTTTCTGCTGTATGGTTAAGACCAAGATAAAGCAGGACCTATATAACAAGCAATGTAGCTTTTCTATCTGATAAGGTCATTCAAATCCCCTCAGGATTTATCCTGAAACCCTGTACCGTACTTTGTAGATCCTTTGTCAGTGTCAGCCATGTGGGTGAGTCATGGCCATTGCTTGACCAATGTGCTCTCTGTGAAAGCCTGAGAGAGTGTCTTCTCCCCATGTGACTCTCCTTAGGCACACGCTACATCATTGATCACTTTCCTCTGTGGCCCCAAACCTTCTTGATCAGAAAATTTGGGACACAACAGACGTTACAGTCAGGTTCTCCTATGTTCTGAGTCCTCACTATCAAAATCATTGTTTTGAAATGATCAACAGAAGAACTAGAATAGGTTTTGGTCCTTTTCATTAACAGGAGATAGCACAGAGTAAGAGACTTTCAGACAAGAAGCAATGCTGGATATATAGTAGTTTCCTCTTAACCAGTTTCACTTCTCATGCTTTCAATTATGTTTAGCAAACTGTGGTCCCAAATATCAAACAGAAAACTCCATGTAATTCTTAAGCTTTTATCACACACCATTCTAATAAGAGTGATGAATCTCACTGTCCCCTCCACCCAAGCACAGGGTGCGAATTATCCCTTCTTCCAGCATAGTCACACTGCTATCAGTTAACCAGCCAACTTGGTTAGCAGATCAACAGCAGAAATATTTGTGTAAAAGCAGCTCTTATTTTCTTACTTAAGAACAGCTCGAAAGAGAAAGGGCAGATGCAAGGAAACCTCAGGGCATAAAACATGGAAGGGCAGATATATTCTGCTACTAGGGCACAGAGGGAAACATGGAAACACGGAAACGCACGCGCGCACACACAATTTAGTACTGTCCTCAGTTTCATGCACTCCCTAAGGGTCTTGAATATATTCCCCATGCATAAGTCAGGGTACTGTAAATGTAAGTGGGAACAAAGTATTTTTTGCTGAATAAACTGACCAATGAAAGAAAATCTGCTGGGGTTTTTTCCTGAGAATAAGCACGGGAACAGAGGAGGAAGGTCTTTGAAGTAAATCAGTGAAATAAATACTAACTCCCATCATTACTAATTATGTGACCACAAACGTAAGTTTCTGAACCCTGATTTTCTAACACATTCAGCATAGGTAATATGATCTCTAATAGGTATCTCCCTTCCTCCCTCTGTGGCCCAGCCCTCTCTGAATGCCTATAATATTCCTACCTAGCTTAGCAGTTTATAATAATTTTAGTGAAAGCTATTCTTTTAAACACAATATCCAAAGAAAAATGCAATTGTGTATCAGCCCATTCATAGAGGAAATACTGCAATTTTTACTACTTTTATTATGGTGCTATTATGAATACTGCTATATCTTAAAAGGTTGGATTTAGAACACAAATTCTAAAGACTACGAAGAAAGGAAATAAATACATGGCTTGGTAAGATAATATAAACACAGTGATATATAAGGAAACTATTTTTCCTGCTTAAATATGCCCATATTGAAGAAATCTATACCTGGACTGAGGATGTAGCTCAGCAGCACAGTACCTGCCTGGCAAATGTGAGGCTGTTCCTGATACCAAAAAACAAAAAACAAAAGGGGGGGGCTTATAAGAAATATTTCCCTAACTGATATTTCAAACCCAAAATCAACTTTATATAATAATAGTTAATTTTACAGATTTGAAATTCAAGGTTATTTTAACATACCTCACTGCTATGATCTCTTTCAAGTTTGTGTTTAAAAGAACAGCTTTCACTAGAATTATTATAAACTGCTAAACTAGGTAGGAATATTATAGGCAATCAGAGAGGGCTGGACCACAGGAGGAGGAAGGGAATAATAATAATTTTAGTGAAATAATAATTTTAGTGAAAATAATAATTTTAGTGAAAGCTATTCTTTTAAACACAAACTTGAAACAGATCATAGAAGGTATGTTTAAAAAAATAATTATTCTTATCTTGATGTTAAAATAACTCTGAATTTCCAAACTAATTCTTCATCAACTCAGCCTCTAACAAGTTAGCAATTATATTTCCTTTACACCGTATTTGGAGGTTCCGGTATCCTTTTCTATATCAGAACCATTCAAAATAATGTCTAAATAAACACCTCCACTGTATAGTTTAGGGAGCAATGTCCTAGTAGTATATTATGCTTAAAAACTATTATTACTGTGATTCTATTATCATAAGGTAAGAAAAAATACATGGTACACATCTCTAATCCCAGATGCTTGGAAGGCTAAAACAGGAGGATCACAAGTTTGAGAACAGCCTGGGCAATTTAATGACACTTTGCCTCAAAATATAATTTTTTAAAAAAAGAAGCTGGGAATGAAGCTCAGAAGTACACCACCTGCCTTGCACACACAAGCCCTAGTTCAGTTGCCAGGACCAGAAAACAAAACAAATACAGAGCTGACCTTCTGTCTACAGTTCCTGACACAGATTTTATAAAAAAGTGGAACTTAAACTAAGACTTACCAGTTTTATTCTATGAATTGATTCATCAGGGCTCAACAAAGCTTCAGAATAAGGGGTAGTCACCAGACAAAAACAACTAGAAGGGTAGAATTTTCAGGCCAATCCCCTCAATCTCTGGGCATGGGAGAGTAAGTATAGGCTGAGTTCAGTCAAATGGTCAATAATCTAAACAATATATAGGAAAGCCTTAATAAAAATTACCAAGTATGGAGGTTCAGAAAGCTTCCTGGTTGGGGAACATAGTGATAGGTTAGGTGAGTGATGTAACTTGACTCCATGAAGACAGAAGCTACTGTACTTGGAACCTTCAAGACCTGGTACCTTTTAGAATAAAATGATAAATACAGCACCTTTCTAAGTTCTGTAAATTATTCTAGCAAATTATCAAAGTTAAAAGAGAGTAAAAGAAAGCTCAAACTTATAATTAAACTAGTGGTGCCTGGGACATGCTGCTGGGCTGACAAAAGAACAGCCT